CTTCTACTCAAATGTCACAATATTTTTATCAGATTCCATTATATTCTGGGTCTGAGGAGTCCATCTGATTCCTTCCTTTAAACATAACATTTTTCTGCTGCTGGGCTTTGTTCTTTTGCAAATTTATGAGGCTGTAAGATGCAAACTGTGGTATCTGTGCATACAGATACCACAAATTTGCAAACTTACCTGTGTGAAATCTTCCAAAAATTCAGAACTCTACTAAAAGGCTACTCTTGGAAAGGTCTCCTGCACCTTGAATTAGATCATGTTATGTGATATGTGAACTACATCATATGATCCAGCATGGGTTGCAATTATGACAGGGCTTCAGGGTTAATCTAAACTTGCCTTCTTGCACCCCAGTTTTTTTGTTTCAGATTAGTTCCATGCATTGATTATCTGTTCCATATCTGTAAAATTTTATGCCAAAATAGACAATCCATCTATGTAACTGATACCTTCACAACACTTGCATCCCTAGATGATACTGTTTTTAACTAAGATTATTAAATCTTAGTTAAAGGGGTTGAGAGGGGTGACTTCATTGCTCTCTAAAGAGGGGCGAAGTGGAGAGGAAGGTCTCCTCTCTGGTATCCAGTGACAGGACATGTGGGAATGGTTCAAAGCTGCACCAGGGGAGGTTTAGACTGGACATTAGGAAGCATTTCTTTACCAAGTGGGTGGTCAAACACTGGAACAGGCTTCACAGAGAGACGGTCAATGCCCCAAGCCTGTCAGTGTTTAAGAGGCATTTGGACAATGTCCTTAACAACATGTTTAACTGTTGGTGAGCCCTAAGTGGTTGGGTGGTTGGACTGATGGTAGCTGTGTGTCCCTTCCAACTGACAGGGCTCTATACTATTCTATCCTATTCTATCCTATCTCTTAGCTAAGAAAGTAGGATTTCTCCATTCTCAGCATTTCACAGGGCTGATAAAAGTGGGAACTCCTCTGTTGGTTGCTTCATATATTACATTATGGGTTTTTCATTGCTTAATCACAATGTTTAATGCTTAAAGAGTTTCACTGGAGCTGTAGTAGCGTGGTTTGTAGTTTCTGCATTCTGTTTTGAACACAGAAATATTCTCTTGAGTTTCTGATCAGAGCTATGTAAAACTACACACTAGTTTTTCAATGTGTTGAAATACTTGCCATCTCATTTCACACATCTGAAGGTATTTGTAACATCTTAGAAACATTTGAAAATAAATTCATGTGATTCCTCTCCGTCATGAGATGTAATATTGTGTTCAAATATGTAGTTGCACATTCTCTCTGCCTTGAAATTTGCTGATGTTCCTTCTCTACTGCTGCTTCCTGTGAATTTACATTTATTATTATTTGTCTTGTGCCAGAGCTGCAGTTAAATAAGCTTCCAAGCACAGTCTTCCCTTCTCAATCTGCAAAATTAGTTCACATTATTAACAAAATAATAAACTTGGTGTGGGTGAAGCACTGTTGCTGTCCTATGCTTCCTGTCTAAGCTTTCCTGATTCACACTCTGACTTACTTCAGTCTTACTGGTACACTGAATGTCACAAATGTATTTACTTTTTGAGGTTTTAATTGCCTCTGTCCTTACAACTTTACTAGCAGACTATTGCCTCATTATTAACATTAATCTCCTCCCTTCCCTGTCACATTTAATCTTTTCCACAGAAGAAGAAAGTTTGAATTGCATTTTTGTATTCCACAGGTTAGGAAGAATCACTGGAGGTCAAGTGGTCCAACTCTGCTCAAAGTCAAACCATTTCTGATGTTATATTACATCATCCAGGTCCTTGGGCAGTTGAATTTTGAAAATTTCCAAAGACAGAGGTTTTGTAGCTCTACTGGGCAATCTGCTCCATTCCCCAATTCTTGGTATTCTTTTCCTACAAAGTAGAATTTCCAGTGTTTCAACTTGTGTTGACTCTTGTCCTTTCACTTTGCACCCCTTAAAAGTAAAGCCTCATTTCAGCTTCTGTTGAGGCCAACCATTTGTTCATCCTAAGTTGAACAATTCAGTTCTCTCAGCTTCTCTATGAATACCACGTGAAGCATCCTGGTGGACTTCCATAAAGCTGGCGAATGCTTTGATATTTTTCACGCACTGAGGACCCCAAAGTTAGACATAGCATTCCAGATATGGTTTCAAAAGTGACAAATAGAGGAGGAAATCTACTTCCCACTTCCCTCAACCTACTGGCTATGGATTTACCCATGCAGACTTGTACACAGTCAGTGCAAAGGCTGGCTGCTTGTTCCTCTTTGCTTGGCTTATTGTCCACCAAGGCTGTCAGGTCCTCTTTCTCAAAGTGCCATCCTATACTGTCGTGTGATGTTGCATCCCAGCTCCAGGACTCTGCACGTGCTGTTGTTGAACTCTTTGAGCTTCCTGTCAGCTCATTTATTCATCCTGTCTGGGTCACTCCTAAAAGCTGCCCTGCCCTCCAGTGTATCAGCTTTGAACTTAAAACCACCGACTGTGACTCCAGCAAGTATTCCACTCACCTGGTAACTTCTCTGTGCAATCCACGTTGGCGTTGTTTGGCTACAAAGATGCTTTGGGATGCTGTGTTGAAAGTCATGCTGCAGTATAGGAAAGGATGTATGTACTGCTCTCCCCTTGTGCACCAAGACAGACATCTTGTCATAGAAGGAAATCAGGTTAATCAAACACAGTTTGTCCATTTTAGATCCATTCTGACCGTTCTTATCCTTTCTGTTTGGAAGCGGATTCCAGAAGGATTTGCTCTGTGCTTGTTGCAGGCAGTGTGGTCACTCTGCTGGTCCAGCCTGTAGCTTTCTGAATCCTCGTTGTTACCCTTGTAGAGAACGGACATGACATCTGCCCTTTATCAGTAATCAGGAGCCTCCCCAAGTTGTCATGACCTTTCAAAGGTGATAGAGAACAGGCTGACAATGGTGTTTACTGGCTTGTTCAACATACTTGGATGCATCCTGTCTCATGACCTGATGTACGTCAAGTTGGTTTATTGGTCCTTAACTCTAACTTCCCCTACTGCAATAGTTTGCTGCTCCACACTCAACTATTGCCTTTGAGGAACTGGGAGGCCTGTGAGCAGAGCTTGAGTGTGAAGTCTGAGGCAAAAAAGATCATTGAGTACCTTGATCTTCTCCATGTCCATGGCACTAGATCCCCTATCTCACTGAGAGCAGCAGGCCCATATTTGCCTCATTCTTTCTTTTATTGTCAGTGTATTTATAAAGGCTCTCATTGCCCTTCATAACCCTGGCTAGTTTCAATTCCAGCCAAGCTTGGCTTTCCCAATTCTGTCTTTGCTTGTTTGAGACATTCCTGCTGGATCACTCATACCCGTTTGGGACATCTCTGCTTCCATGGTCCAAACCTTTGCCTTTTGTGCTTGACTTGAGGCAGAGGTTGTCCATTTAGCTGGACTGGCTCCCCCCTGCCATTCCTGTTCAATTTCTAGCTAACTAGAACAGACTGTTCTTGTGCTATGAACATGTCATCTTTGAAGATCAACCCACTCCTCTGCCCTTCACAGCAGCTTTCCACAGGATCCTGCCAGTGAGTTTCCCAATCAAGCTGTAGTCTGTTCTTCTGAAGTCCAAGGTCTGCTATTTTTCTTCCTCATTTCTGTTAAGAGTCTTAAGTTCCACCACAGTTGCTTCAGCTAAGGCTCCAATAGACTTTGTCTTCCTGGGCCAGATCATTCTTGTTTGTGAATAATAGACCAGAGCACCTCCCTGATTTGGCTTACTGCTTGCTTGGAACAAAATAAATGTTCTTGATAGTCAGGCATCTCCTGGATTGTTTGTAGCCTGCCAAGCTGCTCGTTGTAAATATGTAGGGATGGTTAAGCTATTTACTAGATGTTCATTATCATTAACTTCCTCGGACTATGTCATCTTTAATGTCGTACTGGATTAACTGTATCTCTGATCCTTTTTTCCTCCTGTATTCAGATCTGAGATCCTCTTTCATGCCTTTCTAGGGATCAAATTCCATGGTATTTGACCCTAAACAGGGATCTCACAATATACACCTCTACTCCTCTCTGAATATAAGCATCCACAGCTTTTCATACAATTTCATGCTCTACTCTGGTAGAGTTCTTGCTCCAGCCACCTGGTTGCTTTGTTTTGGTTCTTCTCAGTGTGTGCGGGGGGCTTGCCATGCCTAAGAAAGATTACCTCCCGTATTATGGATTCCATTCATTGCTTCCATTATCTTTTGTCCTTGTAATAAGAATAGACTTAAAAAATGCATTTAGCCAGGAATGCATTCATAGCATGCTTCATTTGCAAAATTAAAGAGTCTAGGACTTTGTGTGTTTTTAGAATTTGTCAGAGGTCAGAATTTCGCTGGTTTCCCTTACGGATTCTCACAAGTGCCAACAAGACACATACTGACAGCCAGAGCTTATCTGCAGAACATTATACCAGAGAATACTTGAACAGAGCATTGTAGACATCATTTTAAGAAGTGTAGTGAACACCAAAAAGCACTTTGAGATGGCCAGCAGTTACATACACATAGGTAAACTTGAATCAATGTATCGGATGGAATGAATGAGTGGGTCTGAAGTCATGTCTTTGCGTGATCCGTAGTTGTACATGAAGGTTGCCATTTGACTGCTGTTGAACCCTCCAGGTGTGTAGGAGCAGGTCGCAGCTGCACTGGTTTTGTGTGTACCAAGTCCTCTACCTCTGCACAACAGGCATCTCTGCCTCTCTTCATTGCCAGAGTCTTCTTGGGAGCTTTTGAGTGATTATTAGAGGTGTGAAATGAGAATCAGCAAAATCCAAAAGACATTTCAGTTGTTACAGCTAAAGGTAGAGGGTTAATGGTTTCCAAAGAATAATGAAAGGGGATATTTAGAGTGACTGCAGATTTCAAGAATTATCAAGAAAGCTCTGAGCATTTAAATGCAAATAGCTTATTTTTACTCTAAATGAAAAATTATAGAGAAAATTCTTGTATTCTGTTAATACATCCATTATCACAACTTCTATTTGATTTGTTTTAGATGAGAAGATTGTGGAAAAAATCCGAGCTTTACAAATGAAAGCTGAAGACTATGATGTTGTAAAGGTGATTGGAAGAGGGGCTTTTGGAGAAGTGCAGCTGGTAAGAATGTAATGATTTAATGTTTAGAGAGATTTCCAGTTCTAGCCAAAACCTTCCTCAATTTTCCACACTTTATATCTAAAAATGCATTCTTATAAAGAATAAGTATTATTTTCATTGTGTCATGAGGTCATTTCTGCACATAGTAGACAGTGCATCTGAGTTTAAAATGTGATGGATTGGAAGGGAAGGACTTGGGAAATAGTTTATTATCCTTTGATCAATGTCAAAAAGGCAGTTCATGGCAATTCTAAATTTTTTTGGCCACAAGCTTCACTGTATAATAATGTCTGAAACCTTCCTATGAAAGAGCAAGTATATAGTGTGACAAAAGAATTTTGTTTTGTTCTTATAATTGTAATGCTTGCACTGTATTTAACTCACATGACTCAGGATTTTTAAAAGATTTATTTTTTAACATTGTCCCCTCAACATTGTATGCTCTGTAATAGCTAAAGTAAGAATGAGATTGCTTTGTAAATTTTTATTGTAGAGAAATTCTATTTAAAAAAAAAGGCAAAATACAAAAAAACCCCTTGGTGTATCACGCATAGTCTGATTTTCGTTTAATTTTGGTTTTTCCCAGACTTCCAAGTCCTAATGTGTGATAAGTGACACAAAAATGTGCACATATGTATAAGATGGATTGATATGTCAGTTTTGAAATAAGCCTTGGATGTAAGCACCAAATAGAATCTGAAATACAAACACCAAGGACAAGTTATCATGAGCTTACAGATAACTGTGCACCAGCTAATCTAGGATACTTTTCTCTGTGAGCATTTTTAGTGGAAGAGAGCTGTGGAGCAAGTAAATGGAAAGTGGAGCAACTAATTTGCAGCAATTGAAGCTTGTTATCTTGTTACCATAAGGTAACAAAAATTACCCTTTTGCTTTTTGACATTGAACTGACATTTTACTGTTATGTGCTATTTTTGCACTAGGAAGCTGGGAAAATTATATTGTCTTGTAATACATAAGCATTTTGGAAAATACAAAGATATGTTGGGGTTTTGTTGAGGAATGTGGTAAAATCTAAGCTGTGAAGTGCTTATAGAAGGTATAGAGTGTATAATGGTAATACATTTATGATCCATTTATAAAATTCTTTGTATTTTCCATATTAGCGTTGGTGAAATTAATGGAAACCAGGGAAGAAAACCTAAAATTAGCCTGAAGCTGTGACTAGAGTAAAGCTATTTGCATGACTAATGGGTAATTTGCAAATTTAGATGTGATTTATGCGGCAGATAGCAACATTTAATCAGCAATTTTTATTCATTTGGTCATTTTTGAGACACTTTCATCCAAGTCTGGCAACATGAGAATGTAGCACCCTCTTACCTATTTTTATCAGGGTCATTTGCACTTTGTTTTTATCCAGAAGAATGTATGAAGTCTGCAGTGGAGTATTTCCAAAAATCCCCATTTTCTAACAAGATTTTAAAAAATAATATGTATCTTTATATGATTTTATATCCTTGCTGGCAAGAAATTAAAACCAAAACCAGAACCTTTAGCAGAACCTTACCTATGTGTGAAAGGGCTGCTGCAGGGAGCTTTGTAAGAAAGCGGGCTGTTCCTTGTCTTTTCACTGACAGACACATCAAATGGTTTGTTTTAAAGTCCTTGATTAGATGTTTTTATCTTTATGTTTATCCACTTGTAGCAGCAAATAGAGACTCTCCTTTTTCATGCACTTGCATGGGAAGTCAGTGAAAAGTCAAGTCATAAGGAGCAGAGTTCCTCGTCTGTTTGCTGAGTAGGGGTGAGATGAAAAAGAGAAGATCCCAATAACAGAAGCTGTGCCTTTTTTGGGTGTCACACTCATATATTTGCTGGAAGGATCCAAGAGAATTGTGTTTTTGATGTGCTTCAAAAATGAAGATGTATTTTCATATATGTATTTCTAAAGATAGAAGGGTTTTTCTAAATAATCCATGTCACGCACAATTTAGATTTTGAAGAAGAGCTGATTTTTCAGTGTCTGTGCTGCAGTTAGGCAGTTTGAGGGATCTGAAGACAAACTATTTTTCATTTGCCTGACCATGAAAATGGCAAAATGCTTGGTAACCTGGTTATATAATAATGTTTTTTGGGTTTTGTTTTTGTTATGTTGGGGTTTTTTTATTCTTTAATAAACCCTTCAAAAAAGCAGGAATGCTTGGTGCTGGAGGGGAACTTCTGTGTGTTCATATAGAACTCTTCTGTACTTTATGTCAATTTATGAGAACACCATTTTTCTGTAATGTAAAAATATAAGTTGAAATCATAATGTTATGCAGTCTTACAGCTAAAAAGCAGTGAGCTAATAAATACAATTGCAGATCTGAACTAATATTAGCTGGTGATGTGGACAGACATACCTAGATTTTTTGCCTCACAAGGTATGATACAAATTTAAACTATTGAGCTAAGCTATATCTATTTCTACTTCATTTAAAATGCTAACACCACTGTTGCAGATGATGGATTTGCAGTAAGCAAAATATTTTGCAATACTTTCTGCGATCAAAATAGAAATTTGCTTCAGTGAGGACTCAGTGCAGAAAGAACCATAAATAATACATGATTAACTATGTGAATTAATGAATGTTTTGTTATCAGTGTGTGCTGTTGTGCATGGGTATTTGTAGCACAAATATTTATTATATGTTTCTAATGATTATATTGGAATGCTTATTTTTTGGCTTGTAATATTTACAGCATAAAATAGGCAGCTATGACCTCTGTCATTTAATTTTATTTTCCCCATTTCTTCTGCTCCAGTATAGCATTTTCTTGTTGAAGTGGTGTGGAGTGATCAGCTTTCCAGATTCTTTCAGAAAAGGGAAACAAATTCTCTACTGTTGTATCTTACAGTTAGATTGTATTTTAAAAGCCTCACTTTTCTCCCTTCCTCTGCCCTCCAAAAAATTAAAAAAATTCAGTCCAGTAAGGAGAGATCAGATGATTCTGGTTTGAGCATCTGACTTCGGTGGAAAAACAATTTCCTTACAGCTCCAGAAGTATTAAACTCTACAGTTGAGCTCTGGTCTCTGGTTTTACTGGATCTGTAGTGATGGAGAAAGCTAAGAAAATAATTGCCAGCTGCCAGACCACTTGTTCTTTTATGCAGTGCCGTGAATAAAAGTGACTGGTGTTTGGGCAGACAGAAAAATTGAATTATGGTGCTTAATATGTTACTTGTGGTTTATGCAGAAACAGTAATTTATGAAAGCACATCCTGAGTACCTCTTGTTTGTTTTCACTTGAGGAAAAATCCTCTTGATATGAAATTGAAACTTATCTTTAGTCCCTTCTCCCGGATCTAACCATGAAGGACTGCAACATTGCAGTGACACACCAGACTGACCTGGTCATGTACTGGAAGAGAAAACTAAAGCAAAGCTAAAGTTTTTTTGTGTTTGAGTGCTAAAGGATGGTCTGGGTGTCAGTCTTCACTGTGTGATTGCTTAGTGTTGCAAACCAGCAGTTGTCATGGCCTGCCTAAAGAGGTGCTGGTTTACTTTTTTCCATTAAGTGCTTTGCTTATTAGGTTTAGTTCCCGTCCACTGCTGTTGTGCAGCTCTGTAATAGAGCAGATAAAGTCATGGTTTTTTACCTGAAAATTTGTCAGAATATGAACTTCGGTGCCCTATCCATAGTCATATGTTATGGCTCTATTAAGTATTTTAGGATACTTGTGATTACTTCAAACCTTGGAGTTCATTTCAAAACTCCACTCTAGGACCTTCATTTTCTTTTAATCATAAAAGAGACAGTACCATTGCCAATGCTGCATATTCAATCTGATAACTTCAAATAGATATGTTATTTTCTTTGCCTACAGATCGTCTTCTGGCGTGGATGCTGTAGAAATAATGGGTGCATTTTGCCTGTACTCCTTTACTGAAAGTCTTAGATTGTTGAAGCACAGTAGAGTGAAATTCTTTTTTCTTAATGCATTTTCATTAGTTAAATGAGGCCATGTTACTCAGTGCTAATGGCATGAAGGGATTTTCCTACCTATTTTGAGAGTTACTGTGGTGAGCTGCAGTTTAAATTTGGCAGGTCCTTTTAACAGTTGGAAGAAATTGAAACATCATGACAGTTTAATACATGAATAATCTGCTGTATGAGCCAATATCTGTATGTACAAATATAGCTCAGGGTGAAGAGTACAGTGACTAGCAGCTAAAAAGGCTGTCTCCAGGGGCCACGGTGGTGATAGAAGCAGTAATATCAGTGGTAGGTCTGTTCCCCTGCAAGGTGTGCCAAGACACACTCAGTCTCTGGGTGTGCCATACCAGTTATTGCTTTGGTTCCTTGATTTTTGTACAGAGAAAGAACCTATCTTGAAATTTTCTCCAGAAGTAATTTAACCAACTAATAAGCTATTGGCACTACTTTAGAGAGGTGCACAGGCTGTGATTTTGGGTCTCCCCACCCCTGTTTACTTTGCCTCTCCTGTGCATGAGCTTGTTTCAGGCTTTGCTAATTTTCAACAATTTTTTTCCCAAAGTAGTGGGAGACAGGTGTTCTTTTAAAGGAAGGCAGCTACACTAACTACACCTATGCAAGAGTACACACCAACTTTAGGAACTGTAAACTACTAAATACATTGCAGAACTTTACATGAACTTTCACAGAAAATGCATCTTCAATTAAACAGTATCTTTTTGTGGTTTCTGGTCTTTGTGTTTCTTCTGGTTTTGGGCAGGATTACAAGAGCTCTACTTTGTGGAGTATAGTTTGTGGTGTACCACCAAATCTTTGTAAATAGTCCCATGTGGGATTAGTAAATGGGAAGGAGTTAATTTTCAAAATCCTTTTTTAGGACACCCTCACTAACTGACTAATTGTTGATATCTTAAAATGTGCTTATAGAGTTGTTAATAAAGGTAGATATCCTGTTTCTGTTCTGGTGTTAGGCTGGAGGTTTTTTGGTCTAACTATACAGAAGGTTGTTGGTTAGTGTTAAACTATGCAAGGTACTAATACTAAAACCTCTGCATCTATATCTTGAAAGCAAAAAGCCCCAATTTCAAGTAAGTTCTTAAATAATCCTGTTTCTATTCATGTTCTCACTCTTTCCAAGATTACCCCCTGCACTGATACTTCTATTCCTTCAGCAATATTATTTTCTACTGCTCCTCTGCAGCAGGAGACTCCCAGATTTGTAGACCAAATAGATGCCTCTCTGAAGCTTTGCACTGCAGATATAGTGGACCTGAAACATTTACAGCTGTTCAGAAAAAGCTTCTGTTCTTTCAAGTAGCGTAATTAAACTAGTGCAAAACTAAGGTCAGGAGATCTGCTTTAGTTTTCTAAATGTGAGAGTTTTAAATGCACCAGAAAATCATAACTTCTATTTCTGGTGCATTTCACAAATTTCACAAATTGATTTCAGAAATTAGTCCTCTGAATTTTTTATTTTAACGGGAAGAAAATATGCAAAACGTTAAGGTGCAGTTAATTTATTTTTTTCTGCTGACTCAGACATTTTACAGCTGAATACTTCTCACCTTGATTTCTGTAAGGAACACTCAAGAATGTTAAAAACCTGGTGCTTTAGTAGTTGTTTCATAAAGCAGCATAAGTCTCATATTGTTTAATTAGCAGAGTAATGACTGCAGTGTGTAATTTAAGGATTTGGTTTCATGTTTGCATTCAGATGAAGTTTTCCAAAATATTTTCATATTTTTTCATAGAAGTTTTAATTCCAATTTTCCAATAAGGTTTATGTTACTAATTTTGCACCATTTAAAGTGAGTTTAAGAACTATTTAGGAAAAGAAAGAAATAGGAGCAATCTTTACCTGGTGCAAAATAAAAATTGGCAGAGGCTGAAGCCAACTGCTTGCAGAATTTCTAACATGAATGACTTAAATGGCTAGACAGTGTTCAGAATAAGAAAATACAAACACGGACTTTATTTCTCCTTACGTGATCTAACTTTTGATGGGGGAATAGCATTTCCTTTTTTTTCTGTGAACAGTCATTTTATCTTTTTAGTGTTCTGGGTGATTTGAAGTAGGCACCTTCACTGAGAAAATGTTAAGAGCAGTCCAGGTCTTTAGAGAAAGGTGGTACTTTTCTCATTCTGAGTTTTGCGTTGGGTTTTTTTGGAGGTTTTTTTCTTTATTATATGCTTGTGTTGCTGCATCTTCAAAGAAACAGGCTCCTCCAAAGAGCTTCTGCTCATGGCCCAGTGGCTCCTCTGCTGCGATTGCAGTGGCAGCTGCAGCCCTTGTCCAGTCTCTGGCATATCTTCCTTCCCAGGGCATCCTTCTTGTTCCACCCCTGCTATGGTGGTTTTTTTGAATGGCTGTTAAGCTTTTCTTTCCAGGTTTGGAAGTTCTCAAATCCTTACTGTGTAGAAAATCAGGTGTATGAAGACCTGGAGGCATCACATCCCAGAAGGCAGTTTGCACATAGCAGAAATATATTGTGCTGGTGTTCAGGTTTTTAATGAGGCATTTAAAAAAAGTTGATTCTCTTCTTTCTCAACGAACAGGTTCGCCATAAAATGACACAGAAAGTTTATGCAATGAAGCTACTTAGTAAATTTGAAATGATCAAGAGATCAGATTCAGCCTTTTTCTGGGAAGAAAGAGATATCATGGCCTTCGCCAACAGTCCGTGGGTGGTTCAGGTAAGGAAGATATGTAAGAGTAAAATAATAATAATAACAACAACAGCAATAATAACGATGATGTAATAAATATTTTCCAGTCTTGAGCTGGTTTTGAATTGACACCTAAACTCAAATCACAGTTTTCTTTTTAAAAATACATTTTTACAGCAATTTCACTGAGTTTTGAGTATTTGACTGTGTTAGAAAATAGATAAATTTACATTTTAGTCACCACAGATGCATCATAAAACAGAACGAAACAGACTTTTGAATAGCAATATAATTATTTGGAATAATAGGGAATTTATCTTTCCAACTAAGAAAAATTCTGTACAGAAATGTAGAAACAAATGTCAATATTTTTTTCCAGTCTTTTCTTCTGATACAGTCAGTTGATCACAGGCAGTTAGTATTAAGAGTGATTTAAACAGTCACTGTCTTTTCATCAGCAGTTTGGTCTATGGGTGAGTGTGCACCCCAGTATCCTGCAAGACCAGAGCAGTGGTTTGCTGAAACCATCTTCTGTTTGGTGGTCAGTTAGAGCACCTGAGCTTGGAAGTAAAATCCAAGTAATGGAGAGTTGGCTTCTTCAGTTGTCTTGAGCACCATTGCTGGCAGCTGTCTCCTGAGATGTATCATCACGGTGTTGTAATGTGAATTATGCCTTTGGGAGGAATCAGTACTGCATATTGCCATTTGTTGTAACCGGTGAATTGCACCAGTTAATCAAATGGGTAGTGAAAGCATTTGGTGCTTGGAGAAACTGTTAGTACCTAATTTTGTTAAATAACTAATACATCTAAGTGCTCTCATGTATATTGCCATGCCTCTGTGTATTTAATAAGACTGGCCTGAAGCTTTCCATATATTCTTCATAACTTCATGCAAGAAATGTTTTACAAGGTTTTTTATTTACTTGATTTGTTCTTTGAGCATGTTCTGTGCCCTTACCTATATTCAGCAGAAATACTTAACCAAATAGATAATTTTTTTATTTAGTTCTTTGTTCTAGTAACAGCAGTTGTCAGGAATTATTTTTATTTTTCACATGCAGTTGAAAGGAACGAGAAAATCCATGCATGACATGGATTTTCAAAGGAAAGTGTCACAAGCAGGATATAAATGTATGTCTGTATGTGCAAATAGCAAATGAACAAAAGTGTAGTTGCAAGTGTGCCTTCTCTGGTAAAGTGTATTAGTGTGATATATTTAGGTAATGTGGTCCAGTGGGACAGGACATCGAGCTGGTTTGAAGAAAATGTAGCTCCTGTTCTGAGTTAGAAACTGGGACAGATCACACTGCTTCTCTGTGTCTTGTTTTTAATATGAAAAACAAATGATACCAGAGCCCTAGATAATTTTAATTTATTTTTTTTAAATTAAATCCCTTGAGGGCAATAATGAAAGTGCTGTATAAAGGCATAGTGCTGTTATTTATTTTTGTGTAATATTAATATATTTACATGTGAGAATACAGAGACTATTTTGGATTTTAATTTAGACTTTGATGACCAAGTGCATTATCTTACTATATAATGCATATATTATCCATTTGTGAAAACAAATACAGTGCAATATGTATGTATTGAAATATATATTTCTAATCTAGGTCTTCTGTCGCTAATTATACAGTTAATTTTAATCTAAAAGTCAAATCTCCATAATAACATACCTGCCTTACATGGTTCCTCATCCTCCATGGATTCCCTTATTTTCCCTTCCTCCTTTCCATACATCCTATTTTCAGTTCTCTTTAAATTTTGTGTGTGTAATTTAAAGATGTGAATAATTTTAGATTTTAAGGTAAAGGAGCAGTATTCCCTGAGAAATAAGGTGAGACTTTCAGAGACTTTTTCACACCAGCCTTTGAACATTTGATAGTAATGCTTTTGATGGCTTGGGCTATTTTCGGACTTGGTGATTGCTGAGTGAGATCTCTAAAACTTTCAGCACTTTAGGTCTGAAATACATTTTAAAGAGACAACTTTTTTCATTATCATGCCAGTAGGAAACATACTGACTGCAACCTATGCCAGATCAGTATTTTATTGTTAAGGATAATTTCTTTGTATTGTGTTATAGTTGTCTTCAGTAACATTTTGGTTTTCTTCCTTATTTCAATATATGTTGATTTAGGACAAAATCAGTGGTGACTTTGTGAACTAGTACAGAGTTAAGGAGTTTATAATACACACAATTTAGAAATAGTCTGAGTTGCTACTCACTGTTTAGGTATTTTCAAATCATTATGTGATGCTCCCTTTCTCAGATTTGATACTTTGCATTTTGACTCAGTGATACTTTTTAATGCCAAGATATATGGAGATATATATATATATATGTATATATATATATGTATAGTAGTATATATATATATATATAATATATATATATATAAACCTATATTATGAAAAAAAATCAGGAAGTCTTTTATCACTTTCTTTAAAATGAAGATGAAGGGATTTTGAAGTTCAGTAAATTTCAAGGTACTGTCATAATAGAAAATGTAGATTGTCTGAATGTAAAAAGTAAAGTTACTTACATAAGTTTTGACAGGATATTCTCAGGTTTAACAAAATTTCAAGATAAGGGGCTTTATTCTTTTTACTAGATGTTTCTGAAAAGTAATTGCATTTTTTTCTTTCTTTTCTATTAATGTTGCAGCTATTTTGTGCCTTTCAAGATGACAAGTACTTGTACATGGTAATGGAATACATGCCAGGTGGAGATCTTGTAAACCTTATGAGCAATTACGATGTGCCTGAGAAATGGGCCAAGTTCTACACAGCCGAAGTTGTTCTTGCTCTTGATGCAATTCACTCCATGGGCTTGATACACAGAGATGTGAAGCCTGACAATATGCTTTTAGATAAACATGGGCATCTGAAGCTGGCAGATTTTGGCACTTGTATGAAAATGGATGAAGTAAGTATGCAACTGAATAATTTATTATATATAAAACTGTAATTCTAGGGTTATTTTCTTATGAATTATAATACACAAAAGAATGTTCATCAAATGGTGTACCTGGTTAGAAAGCTGTTTCTTGTCTCCTAGTTTTAAATATGAGTGCTCTAAATAGTGTAATTTTTTTTATAATAAACTGTTCTGTCACACAGAAGAAGGATGTAAACTTACTTTTCGTTATTTCTGAAAGCATGTGTGTTTATGAATTTTTGAAGTTCATTTTTTTTTTTACCAAATGTCTGAAAAGCTTATGAGATAAATCGTAGTTTCAACATTAATAACCTTGGAACAGTTCATAGGCTGACATTTTTCTGTAAATGAAATTATTTTACAGGCAAAATACAGTCCGTGTGTTTTCCTGTGTCTCATTGTTCTCATAGCATCCTCTAGTGGTCATCCAAATGAGGTTGCAGTAGGGCAGCAGTGGTATGTGATATATTCATCAGAATTTGTTAGATGTTTGTCAAGATGTCGTGCATTATAATTGTCCAGATTTTATTACAGTCAAATACAGTTTTCTAATGAGATTACATAAGAATATTTTTAACATGATGTAATACTTTATGTTATCAAAGGTGACTTAAAAACAAATCTACCTTTGAAGTTTGCATTCTTAAAATCTTCCCTGACAAACAGTGTTAGGCTGTAAATTACAGAATGCATTCTTCCTGTGAAAAATTCTAACAGATTCTAAAAAAACCCTGTATATGACTGTGTGTTACGATTTGCCTGACCTTTGAAAGGTTTCTGTATTAATATTGGCAAGGGTTACCCTGTTAAGCTTACTTGCTTTAGTGGTTTAGATTTTTCTGTGTATTGTTTTGAAGGTGCTTGATATAGTCTCTGCAACCTACTTAATTTGCATTTGCATCATTAAATTAATGTCTTCTCAGCTGTATCTAGAAGTACTGTCTCTGATTAGGTTGTTTTTTTTTCACATGCTAATATATTAACTTCATTGTACAACCACAGCTGTTTATTGAAATTCAGTCTACTTAGTTTTGCTCATAATTTAATAACTATTGTTACTCTAAAGGCAGAGAGAATATTCATCTCCACTTGGATGATTTACTTGCCTGTATTCTAGGGGACAGCATTTACTTTAATTGAAGAAATTGAAAGTAGTACTTGGTCTCTTAATTCAGTCCTTAAAAAATTAACTTTGTTTTGAGTCAATAGACCGTAGATCTTAAGGGAATCTGTTGTTATCTGAAGAGACAATTAAAAAACAGCAAAAAGTTCATAATATAAATCTAAAATGAAAGAGGGATTCTCTATGCTATTTTAGAGATCCCAGAAATGGTGGACCTAGGCCTTTCTTTCCATTTTCCTTTTCGCTGCTGTTATTAAAAGAATGGAATACTAAAATGTGGATGATGATACTGTAAATGTCAGAAATGCTTGCATGTTTCTCATAAAGAATTACAGTGAGCTCCAGTTTAGACTGGGCATTATCAATGGACCAGTAATCTGCTAAAGAAATTAATTTTTTAACAGATTACATTTTAAGTTCTTCGTGTTTCTCAGACTCAGTGGAATGGCAAAAATTTTTTTTACAGGAAGCTTTAGAAGTTGAGAGATTCTGGATTGTCTCCAAATCTCATGCTACTTCTTACAAAACACGAACACATCCCAGCTGTGTAAATATAATATTGGTGTTGGCAGACTGATTTCTAGAAAATATAGCTTACCCAATACTTTTTTATTTTTTGGATCTGGATTTCTTTTAGCAGTTGTGGACATTAGTATCTTCCTTATGCTGCCAATAGCCCAGGAAAATTCTACTGCAATTTGGTTAGAGATTTTTCTGACCTTTGGTGTGGAATTGAAGTCAGTGTTCACTTAAGTCTGCCAGGCCAAACCTGACAGTTGCACTAGAATTCCTCCTTATCACTATGTGAAAAGAGTTGCTGCTAAGTGTTTTAGTGATCTTTTCCAGCATAAAAGGAACTCTTCTGTTTATATAACTCAGTTGTCATGATTTGAGGGTTTGTGGTGTTGGGTGGTCTGGTATTTTTTTTATTTGTTGCCTTTTTTAAAATCTGCAATAAGGTGAGTATTTCTATTATTGTATAAAGAATGGAGTTGGCCTCAGAGGTTCAGTAGAAATTGTGGTTCCCTTTAGGTATTTAGGTCTGGTAAGGTCGATCAGGGCAGGTTTCACCAGGTGTCTAATCTTCAGGTTTTATGTAAGAAACTAGACAATAATTGGTTTCGATAGGTATGGTAGGGCCAGTGTTTCCAGGCTCGGTACACGGCGCTGTCCTTGCCAACTGAGCTTTCAGAAGAGCACAGGTTTAGAGGCTACCTGTTGAAAACAGATGTGACCAAAAGAAGGCATATTTGCCATTTGGGATTTTTACCTTGGCTCAGGCAGTTTCGTTGAAAGAAGCAGTGTGTTCCTGTTTTTAGAACTCAACTTCTTTCTCATTGAAGCTTATCCAAGACCCTGCTGGATCCTTCTTTTTTCAGTCCATTGTCTGCAGCACACTGCACTAGCCTGTGTGCTGTGTTAGCACCTAATATATGCTATCCTAATATTTTCACACAAGCGCTCTCCAGCTCTTTTTACGGGAAGGAACTTAATGAGGAAGTAAAAGCCTGACTGTTTGCCTTGGTTCAAGACAGCAAGTCCTTCAGGTCTGATGGAGATCATCCTGAAGATGAAACCTGAATTGCTTTTCCTTCAACAATACAATAACACTGAACGATGCTGGGAAACACTGCAGCCTCACTGCCAAGTTGTCATGAACTGTGACATGCTGTGTCTCCTGGACAGCCTATTTTTTAAAACTGTGCACTGTGCATCGCTCACAGAGCTGCAGGAGACGGGTTCCGAGATCCACCTTGATCTTTTGAGGTGATGAGGAAAGTTTCGGGTAAATCACTGGCCTGAAACTGAGAACTGTTATAGTAAGTGTGCTGCTCAGGCATAAAACAGAAGCTTAGTATTTGAAACACAGGAGTAATGAGTTGGCCAGAGAAAACAGCATCCTTTAGGTCTCTTCAGAGTGTGGGGACTGCCAGGGTGCTGTATATTGCACAAAGAGGACATCCCTGTTTACTTGCCTTTGATGCTGGAGATCATAGAAGCGAGTCTGATGGTGATATTAAAGGTATCCAGTACTTAGAAATACATACAGAGCAACACTCAAGTTCTTTGAAAGAACAAGTGTGTAAATGAGAGGAACAGAAATCTGGGAATAGTATATGCAGATGATAATGGTCCAGCCTTCACAGGGACATGATAGAATCCCCCATTGCTGGATTTTTTTGTGATGCAGTTGGTCAAGGTGCTACATAATCTTATATAGGCCATTTTTCCCACAACACATTGGGTCAGATGATCTTTCAAGGTCCCTTCCAAGCCAGATTGTTCTATGATCTGTGAATGCACTTTTAGATTAGTTCCTGAGACAGAAGGTAGAGAGTTTCATGGGGAGTAAGTACAACCAGCTCCATGTGCTTCAAAGTGGTATGGTCTGTTGAAAACTGGTGTTAGGAAGCAGGGCCCTTTTTGCTGTAGAAATAGTTGTTTTACTGTTCAGTTCTTTGGCGTCTCATCTGAAAACTTAAGGTGTTATTACTTGGAGTTCTTTAGCATCTGTAATGTCATTGCAAAGAACTTTCCTTGTTGCTACATACCAGCCAGATTTGGGGTTGGCTGGTTTTGGCACAGCCTTTGCTTTGTTTGCTTAAGACTTCATAAAATATCAACACCTGTAACATATTAAAAAGTGTCCTTGCTTTGGTGTATTAATTATAGAGGGGTGGGAAATGGTGTGTTATTAAGTGCTTAGGTGTCAAGGCAATGTTCAGAAAAAGTTCTTTCAGAACTGTTTTGTTTACTTTGTTTTTAAAGTATCTCCTTACCTGGGGAGAGATTTGGGTGGCTTCAACTCAGTCTTGACTGAGCAAAAATTCAGACTTTTCCTTGTAATTTTGCATTTGGATAAGGAAGAGATAGACACACGCCAGTGTTGAAGGCCTCATTAAGATGCCACAGTCTTACCAGATGAGCAGAATTACATAACCCTAGAGCAATTCCTCCTGAGCTCAAAACAAAGAGAGGCTTAAGCTTCAGAGAAGACATGTAGGTTAGTGCACAAGTGCTGTTACAAGCAGCATATTCAAATAGTTGTTCCTGCCATGTGCCAGATCCATTTTTGAATGCTCTTAACTTTAGATTTTTGGAGCCTTTGGGCTTCAGTTTATTTCCACTGTTAAAATGTGTTTATGGGTTTTTTTGACCCATGAATGCATTAGGTCTTCTGAAAAGTATTAACTTCATTTTCTTATCCCAGGGATGAATAGCTTATGTGCTATCTCATCCATAGTATAGAAGGCAAAAGTTAACCTGCTCTTCATTCTGTAACTGAGAAGTTAAAACCTCTTCAGGTTTCAGCTTTAGCATAGAGTTGTAGAAGATGATAGGCATTTGCCAGGAGGACAGGCAGTAGGTCTCTACAGTATTTAGTCATCCCTTTAGTTTTTACCTGCTTGTTCATGACTCTCTGTGTTCTGGTTTAGTACAGAAATAAAAGCTTTTGACAGTTCATATTGTGTATGAAAAGGAATATTACAATGTGGTGTGTGAGTTTTACACATCAGTACAGTTCCTAAAGCAAAATGTTTCTCTTACTTTCTTTAAATATGTATTTTGACTTTAGTTATTGCTACTAATATTCTATATCAATATTCGTAAATAATACACATTGCTGTTCATGCTGATGGCAAAATGCATGAAGAACTTTGTAAGATGACTGAGATTTCAGATTTAGAAACAGAATAAAAGATGAGCGTATTTTTGGTACTTCTCTAACTTCATCCAGAATTTCGTTTCATTCATCCATCTGGTCTCTGAGGAGTGAATACAGTGAATTTGACTAAAGGGAACAAGGCTTATAACTCTGAACTAGAATGCTGGCAGATCTGGTTGATGCTTCTGCGTCACTTAGCCCCTGCATTTTCAGTCTCTCAGCATGAAGCAAAGGGGATGAGGAATCATTCCATTAATACAACTGTGGCATTACGTTAATTAAAAAAAAAACCGAAAAAGAGCTTTCCTATTCTTTAAAAATAGCTTTTCCTTTTAGTCTGCTTCGCATCTGTAATTAATAAACAAGGTGTAACTATAAAAATTTACCTCAAACTTGATTTATTGTCTGAATTGGACAAAATTGTTATGTATCTGCAATGTAGGGCCTAGAATTCCTAACTTGTCAAAATGATTCTAAAGTTTGTCCCTGAATTCAATGAGATAAGGAACAGTCTGATATGGTGTGTAGCTTCATATTGAAACCAATGGTAAAAATAATAAAATTGGTCAATTTTGGAAAGAGGTAGTCAAGAGAAATCACTATGAGGTAGGCAAGGGGTGACCACGTTACCAGACAATGTCATTTCAGTCCATATTGTTTTTGAATAAAAAAATAGTCTTTCAAACATACTCATCAAACAAGTATTTTAGGCTATATTTTGTAATGTTTTCTGCTCTCCTAGTAGATTAATTGTTTAAAGACTCGGAAGTATTTTGGACTGAGCTGTCTGTGTTCCTCTGTTGCACAGACAGGAATGGTGCGCTGCGACACAGCCGTGGGAACCCCCGACTACATATCGCCCGAAGTCCTGAAGTCGCAGGGGGGTGATGGTTACTATGGACGGGAGTGTGACTGGTGGTCTGTAGGGGTGTTCCTTTTTGAGATGTTGGTTGGTAAGTAGTAATTTAGTCTGCTAATAAGATTATCATTGAGTCTTTACTGTGCCTTTAGCTGTACTTTGCTGCTCAGGGGCTGGCTGTACCTCACTAACAGCTTCTGACTTTTGGCTGATACTGTGGTTTTATTTCTGTTCTCTTTGCTCTCTGTCACTCTTACACTGTGGCAGCTGTTTGCGTGCGTGCTCAGTGATTAGTTCCCTGACTCGATTCAGCTTAAAACTAATTCTTAGAATAGTTTTAACTGGGGTCAGCTACCTCACCAACTCGTGAAGGTTTATGCCACATCAAGCAGTACTGAGTTTGCAGGGCCACAGAGATGAGAAAGGAGTGGAAAGGGCAGGACTGTCCTTTTCTTTTCTCCTCTTCTTTTTCCCACAGCATGTCAGTGTCTTCTGTTATGTCAAAATGCAAAACTATGGCTTGATTCTTTCTTCTATGCCTGAGTCAGGATTTTCCAGTAAGATACACCAGACTGCCATGGCAACGAACACAGAATATAATCTGTTAAGATGAGTCATCTGCCTCTTAATATATAGTGAGGATCAATTTTATAGTCTGGTAGCAAAATACTGATTATAGAAGGATGGAATTGAGCATATAATTATTAAAAATCCAAATCAGCATGTTCTGGGAATATTGCAGATTTGATGCTTCTGGTATCCTAAGCTAGGAAAGACATTTGGATATAAAAAGCTGTTACAATTTCTATGTCTTTCAGAATTAAGGCACTTTGGCTTTAAATAGAGTGTTTTATAATGATTAGTCTCTAATGAACAATTTTAGCAATAAAGAAAATTATTCAATTATTAAAATATTGGACATAACTGTCCAGAATTTTCTTCTCAGAGCCTCCCTTTTTTTCCTCTTGTATCTAGGAGGGAAATATTACTTAATTTCTCCATCTATTTTTGTCTGTGCTCACATATCAGATTCTGCCTGTGGTCTTCTAAAACCTGCTTTTAGTCAAGCCACAGTACTAATGAAAATGGTAATTTTATTATGAGAATTAAAATTTTATTGTGCCCTTGACTAAAAGGTAAAATGTTGGTCACAGGATGAATCCTAACGATAGTTCAGTGACTTTAGATAGTTTTAAGGTGTGTCCAAAATCAAAGCTGTTTCTGGGACAGAAGACAATTGAGAAGAGGAAGGTTGGGAGAGTGAGGCAGCAGCAAGTATCAATGATCCCCCCCTGCAGTGCACTGGTATGGCACCCTAATGAATTTACTAAAAGTTTAGAAGTTTAGATCAAGCTGGTGTGTACTAATTCCTTATTATGCCATAAAATGACAGGAAGAGACTCAAGTTACGATTATTACATTTGTATTTTTTGAAAGCAGAATGTTTTTTGTCCGTTGGTCCCTTTGTACGGTTTTTTCATGTACTTGGCTTCTGAAATATTCAGTTCCTTGATGGAAGGCTGCAGCCAGCAAGGCTGTCCTGCCAGGTGGTCCCTGCCTGCACACAGCACACTGGGAGGGAGAAAGGAGCCTAGCTCATGCAATCAGTTGTTTGCCTTCCCTATTAAACCTATGGATTAGTTGTGAGAAAAAGCATTTCTGTGAAAGTTGCAGCTTCTTGATTACAGACCTGAACCATTTGTAAGTTCAGAATGTTGTCAGTTAATTTGAGTGTCAGTTGCCTTCATCGCTTCCAATTCTTTTCACTTGTCCCAATTTTACCTTTCTTAATTCTGTTTTCTTTGCGAATATCTTTAGAACCTATGCTGCAAACCTCTATGTGGGAAAGGTCTATGATTTAAAAAACCACCTGCCATGTTAATATGGGCACCGAAGCTAATTAATTTGTCAGTGAACAAGATTTAATAATATGGCTTTAACAGTGCAGTAACACACTGGGAAGGCTCCTGCTCAGAGCTGACTTGCCTTAGGCAGGGTAGGCCTGTCATGCCTCTGAAATGGTCTTCGGAGAGCTTTGGTTTATTCTTTCCAACAAATGTGCATTAGCAAATCTTTAGTGAGTTGTGGTCCATTTTACCCATGGAGTGTTTAAAGGTGGGGATTTAAGTGGGTGTCAGCTATCGTGTAAATTAGAAAACACAGTGAGAGTCTTTAGGTAGAACAAAAGGTGTAATTCGCTGGGCAAAATTTTGGTATTGATAGGCAGGATAGAAAATGGTGTAGTTTCTAATACAGGCATTTTAGGGAAGGAATATTTTTGGTAGTATACATTATTTTTGCATTCCAATTTTACCGTTTCATTTTTTTTAAATAAAAGACTATTTTTGGTAAACTGCTTGTAGACTTTTCTTTATATCTTTTCTCTTACTCAACTTACATGACTCAAAATCACAGTCAATTTGCTGTTTTATTTTCAGGCGATACTCCTTTTTATGCAGACTCACTAGTAGGAACATACAGTAAAATTATGGATCATAAGAACTCATTACATTTCCCGGATGACGTGGAAATCTCTAAGCATGCGAAGAACCTTATCTGTGCCTTTTTAACTGATAGGTAAGTGCATGTGTTTTTCTGTTACTTTTTTTTTTATTTTGGATGGTATTGGCTGTATTTATTTTGGATGGTACATTGTAAAAATTAATTCCTTCCATTACTTTTCCTAATCTCTGTCCACATCTCTTCTGCAAAACCTTCTGTTCTCTAGTTTTTCTTTTGGAGTGTTTTTTCCAGGTATTGTATTTTATTTCTATGAGCAGTTCTGACAGCTCTTGTTAACAACACAGTTTGTGCTGGACAAATCCTTCCAATTGCAGTGTGTAATACAGTTACAAACCTGTAAAACTGAAAGTAATTTGTAAGCTCCAAGGCAGGGACGAAATTGTTGTGCTCAGTGTCTGTGTGGGTGTTACTTATGAAAAATGAAAGTAAGTACTTCTCTGAAAGTAAGCATGCATTTATGAGTTTGTTTACGGTTTCTTGGAATGTTTGAATTTTTAGTTTTTATTTGCTTTGTTGCATTAATTGATAAGTATAGCTAACAAATCTGCAAGAGTATTGTTTTGGCTACAAATAGGTCCTCGAAGTTTGTCTTTATGGACTGGAGCCATTTATTGAAATTAACCTGTGTAAGCTTGTTCTTAACCTGAACACTTATATTTTCTTTAGTTTGAGAAAGCACAGATGATCTTTGATTTCTTTGATTTAAAAGAACAACACTGTAGACCCACAGTTAACTCAAGATCGGTGATGCCTTCTTATGCTTTTTCACCTGAACCCAGCTGGAGCAGAGCATATAGAATGAGGGATTAGGAAAACAAATGGTTTTATAATGGGTTTTGCATTCAAAGAGAGATTGTTTGCTCTACTGAGCAAGATGGCAGTTGCTCAGGAAGGATGTGCTTTAATTTAGCAGCATTTTTCACCCTTAGTAGCTGAAGGGTACAGAGAAAATATGAGTAGAATTTAATAATGTAAATGTGGCGAGGTGTGTTTCCACTACGTGTGTCCCTCTTCCTGTTTATATTTAACACAGTGCTTGAGCGATTTATTTGAAACAGATGCTTGCTCTCTGTCTGCGTGATCACTGCTGAAGCACTTAAAGGACTAAGCATCGACCCTGTGATTTACTGCTGCTTTTCCATGCATTGTTTTTATGTCCTGTTCCTGTACATAGTTTCAAGAGAGACTCTTCTGTTCAAACTAAAAGTTTCTTGTTGCTCTTAAGATTTACTTCACTGCAAATATCAGCAAAAGACGTGTCAGGGTTAGTTGTGGGGCAGAGGATGAAATTCTTAAAATATTTATTTTAGTCCAGCTTTGAATAACTGTTCTGTGCAGTAGGTTAGACCTTCCTTCACTTGCGTCTTTCGGTTTGTCATGTGGTTTGGCAGACACGGAACTTCTGCAATTTTATTTCCCCCAAGGGTGTTGAGTTTTTGTTTGTGTTTTTAGGTTTTTCTTAGTTTTTGCCTCAGCGTTCTCTGTCTTGCTTTACTCCCCACGTGGCAGACTCCAAGTTCTGGACATTTCAGCAGTTGCAAGGAGAGCGCATGCTAAGAATCAGAGTATGTTTTATATAAGAAACTAAAGATTAGTGGTTGGTGGTTTTTAAATTTTGTTTTTTCTCTGACCATTAGTGTGGTTAACACAGACAATCTTTACTGAAAGTTTCATTGCTGCTTGTGAACAAGTCAGAATTTAAATAACAACAAACTAAGCCAAAAAAAAAAGAAGCTCGTTTCCCTAATGTGACTTTGCCTTAATTGCTATGTTTAGGGATGTGCGACTTGGGAGAAATGGGGTAGAAGAAATAAAGCATCACCCTTTCTTCAAAAGCGATCAGTGGAACTGGGACAACATTCGAGAGAGTGAGTAAATTAGCTTACAAGTTCTATTTTATTCAGTATTTGCAATAGTAGAAATGAGGAAAAAACGTTAGGCTGTATAAATTAAGTATTTTCTATCTATCAAAAATCTTACTCAACCTTTCATATTTATCATTTGTGTTATGAAAACTCATGTTAATTAGGGTTAGTAAATACACATTTTTCCTACTCGGATTATCCTCATCTTTATCATGCTTTTAATGTAGACATTTCCATTTTAAATAAAGGAATTGGATGTTTCAGAATTTTAACTAAAAAGAATGCATGTTTCTCTTTTGCTTTTGTTATTTTGTGTTATGGGTTTTTTCATTTTGATTTGGGATTTTTTTGATCTTCTCGTAGTTAAGACAGTAGTTTGACAGTGGTCTTGTCAGTTTTACTGCTTTTCATTTAAGGTGTTGAGAACCTGATAGCTTTAGGTAAAAAAAACAAAGTATGTCAGTTCAGCTCACGAGCTTGATCATAACTTCTAAAGTTACATATTTACTAAGGTTTCTTAAAATGCTGATTGTATTAGAGTTCTATTCTCAAACGTGATTACCTGAGCAAATATGTCTTGCATATTAGATAGTCTATGCATGAAGCAACTAATACAAAAATAGATTGCTCTAGAAAAAATTGTGCACAGTAATATTTCCAGATCTGCTGTCTGGTTAATACATATTTAACTACAAGTTATTTAAGGACAACTTATAATATAGTCTTTTAACATTATAGAGATACCAGTATATAGCAAGTGACTGAATCTTGGAGTGAAGTTCATCTTTTCTCCCCTTTTTATAGCTGCTGCTCCTGTTGTTCCTGAGCTCAGCAGTGATATAGATAGCAGTAATTTTGATGACATTGAGGACGACAAGGGAGACGTGGAAACCTTTCCAATCCCCAAAGCCTTCGTGGGAAACCAGCTGCCTTTCATAGGATTTACCTACTATAGAGACAATTTGTATGTGATACTTTAATATACATTTTTAGAAAAATACCTGCACATTTTTCTTGTATTCTCTTTTCACTCTAGATTCATAATTTATTCCTTACATTATATTCATTTATGTCCAGTTGGGAAGATACAAAATGCTAAGCTTGAGTAAAATAATTTGTTACTATTTTGGTTATTTTGATAACTGTGATTAAACACAGTATTTTTATATGCACAGAATTATACAATATCTTAAAAAATTGTTTAGGGTTCAAATACTGATAGATTTGTAATTTACTTCTAAAAAGGCTTTTTATTAGTTATTTTAGAAAAAAGTTTACACAAGATAACTTTCTAGAATTAAACTTGAATAATTAAAAAGTAATTGTATTAATTAAAAGATCATAAACTGCTGTGGATTTGGAAACATGCTATACTTCAGTTAAGGAAAGATTCAAATCACAAAGATGCACTAAGACTGAAATAAAACAAGCTTCATTCTGAGAGGAGCATAGGACAAATTAAGGCTTGAGAGAATTGATTAAAATGGCAAGATTGCCAGAGTTGTTGAAAACTTGAATAAGAGCTGGAGGGATTTGTTTTTGTTTTTGACAGGTTGCTAAGTGACTCCTCTCAGTCTTGCAGAGAAAATGAATCTGTGCAATCTAGTAAAAATGAGGTTAGTGCCTTTCTTCTTCAGTATTAATGGTATGCTTAACTAATTTTGTTAAGTCTGTTAAGAAAAGACAAAGCCTAAAATAAGTTTTCAAGCAGTTTTGTGGGGGGGCTTTTATCTTTTAGTGATCCTCAATACAAATGATATTTTCTATTTACAGGACAGCAAGGAGGTAAGTATATTATTTGAATTATGAAAAGAATAGAAAAATTCCTACATAATTTTATGTGGATGTGATGTATCTTAAATGTTTATTCACCAAATTGTTAGCAGTAAACCAGTTGTATTTTGAAACAGTTGTACTCAAGAGTTAAGGTGCTGTAGTATACAGGGGAATGAATACAGGTTTTTCTCAAATTCTTTTGGCATCTAGAATTTTTTGGAAATCCAAAGCGTAAAGCTCTGTTTGCTACAGACAGCATCACTCTTGGGAAGATTCCACAGTTGCCTGAGCGATTCATGACTGATTTATTCAGAGTTTGGAAAAATAAATTGTCACCTGCAGTGATAAAGGAATGTTTAAATCATACTCCAGTTGGAGTGTATGGAGCATGTTTATCCAGCTTTTGAAGGTTGACAATTGAATTTAAATATGCATATGACAGGAAAATGTTATAGAATTTTCATGTACTTATTTCATTATGTTACTTAAACATTTGTATTATTCAAGTGTAGATAGTATATTGTTAACATTTCTTAAAACTTACAGTTCCTTTTCAAAGTTTAAAAAATAAATAAAGGAAATGCATTTTGTATTGATCAGCTAAATTTAAATGCAAATGTTTATTACACTCCACTTCCTTCCTGTCACTGCTGAATAGATGAATAGTTTTAGAGTTTCCCTTTTAAAAAGAAATGGTCCTGCTGTTCAAAATACATATTGTCACATTCGTGACATTTGCTTTATGTTGTGATAGTAAATGCAGATGGTAACATTTTGCATTTGACTTCTGACAACTTTTTTATTTGTATTTTCTCAAGCGATGAATCTCCAGTTTTGATGTCTTTTTCAGTGTCCCTGTTCTGGGAATCCTCTAACTGTAATAATTGTAAAGTGTTTCAGAAAACCACATTTTTACATTTCATGTTTGGAGGGTAGAGGAAGAGGGGGAAGGGAGGAAAATAAATGCATGTGAAAGCCTGAAGTCATGAGATTAATCCAAAATTTATTATTTATAATTTATTTCATGAATATTTGGGTACTGGACTCACATTTTCTTAAAAATATTTTATTAAGCAAAACTGAAGTAAGGATAATAAAAAGTGTTTTTATAAATACATTAATAGCAAAAGGAGGGGCAAAGAAAACCTACATTCTTTACTGGACATGGGGGAGAACATAGTTACCAAGGATGCAGAAAAGGCTGAAGTACTTAACACCTTCTTTGCCTCAGTTTTCAACAATAAGACAGGTTGTCCTTAGGACAGCTGGCCTCCTGAGCAGGTAGACAGGGACAAGGAGCCAAATAGTCCCCCTGTAGTCCAGGAGGAAGCAGTTAGTGACCTGCTGAGCCACTTGGATCTTCACAAGTCTATGGGACCAGATGGGATCCATCCTAGGCTGATGAGGGAGCTGGTAGAAGAGCTTGCCAAACTGCTCTCCATCATTTATCAACAGTCCTGGCTCACTGGGGAAGTTCCAGAAAACTGGAAGTTGGCCAGTGTGACGCCCATCCATAAGAAGGGCTGGAAGGAGGATCTGGGAAACTGCAGGCCTGTCAGCTTGGGATCAGTGCCCAGCAAGGTTATGGAACAATCATCTTGAGTGTGATCACACAGCACCTACAGGATGGCCGGGGGATCAGACCCAGCCAACACGGGTTTAGGTGGGGCAGGTCCTACCTGATCAACCTGATCTCCTTTTTATGACCAGGTGATCTGCCTGGTGGATGAGGGGAAGGCTGTGCATGTAGTCTACCTGGACTTCAGCAAAGCCTTTGACACCATCTCCCATAACATAGTCCTGAAAAAGCTGGCAGCCCACAGCTTGGACAGAGGCACTCTGTTGGGTTAAGAACTGACTGGAGGGCCGGGCCCAGAGAGTGGTGGTGAATGGTGCTACATCCAGATGGTGTCTGGTCACTAGTGGTGTCTCCTAGGGATCAGTGTTGGGCCCAGTTCTATTTAATATCTTTATTGATGATCTGGATGAGGGGATCGAGTCTACCATTAGCTGGATTTGCAGGCTCAGGGGAGACCTCATCTCTCTCTACAACTCCCTGAAAGGAGATTGTAGACAGTTGGGGATTGACCTCTTCTCCCAGGCAACCAGAAATAGGACAAGTGGACACAGTCTTATGCCGCTCCATAAGGGGAGGTTTAGGTTGGACATTAGGAGGAGTTTTTTCACAGAAGGAGTGAGTGGGCATTGGAATGGGCTGCCCAGGACCTCCCACTGTCCCTGGAGGTGTTTAGGAAAGACTGGATGTTGCAGTTAGTGCCATGGTCTAGTTGACATGGTGGTGTTAGGTCATAGGTTGGACTCAGTGATCTCAGAGGTCTCTTCCAACCCAGTTGATTCTGAGAAAACAAAGCATTTCCAAACCTGAAAAGTGTTCATTAGATTCCAAATGAGTAAGACTAAGAAATTCTTCTTCAGGTGAGGTCACTGAACATGTTTAGTCATCTGAATATTGTCCACTTTGGTCATGTGCCCCCCCTTCTTATTTTTTCATTTCATTTAGAAAAGGCTATCCCAAAAAATCTGCTGCAGTGGACAGTCTCTGGCTACAGAGAACAGCAAAGGGCCGGTAACAATATTCTTTCCCCATATAAATTTTATGACTCACAATCTGTGGCACATAATTCTGTGATGGTTTGATTTAATGCAGCATGCAGCAATTTTTGTTGCTATGGATCTGTATCTTTAAAATCATCTGAATTAATGCCTTGTAAAGATGTAACCTTCTAGTGATGGTTTTAAAATAATATAGTGGAAGATTGAATTAATTTTCCTTGCTTTCCCTTATTTTGTTATTTAATTGAATTACATTTGTTTTATGTGGTAACATTTTTATATGTGGGCCATACTTTTTTGATATTTTACACAGTTTCAGAAAAAACTAAGCAAACTAGAAGAACAGCTCAGTAATGAATTGCAAGCCAAAGATGAACTAGAACAGAAGTACAGGTGAGACTGTTTTGACATGTTTGGTATGTTTATAGAGTAGTTTTATTAGACTTTCTGTTTTTGGATACTTAAAAGCATTTTAATTCACTTTGGGGATTCCCAACCCTGTGAGCAGATCTCACTGTAACTTGCCAGCCTATTCTTGCTGCTCCTGTGACTACTGGGGTGGTTTTGTTGGGGTTTTTTGCCTTACCTCTCTAGAAGAATCTCTCTGTTATTAGAGTGATTTCACCTGTCCCTGAGGTTTCATGTTACTGTTGAAAATAGAATATCTAATTAATGAGACACATCCAAGCACTCTAATTTCTGTATTATCAGCAGGATTTAAAAGTATTTTTCAAATTTGTTCAGGTCTACAAGTACTCGTTTAGAGAAGATACTGAAAGAGCTCGATGAAGAGGTAAGTCCACAGATATTTCTGACTGGAATTAGAACTTTAACATTTGTGTGTGGCTTTTTCCTTCAGTAACAGCAGATTACTTTTGAGTAGCTGTGTATTTATAGCAAGTCACACTAGTTGATTTCTTAGTATTCACAAGCATGAAATTGTTGTCACTGCTAAAATATTTTCATTATGATTTCTGTATATAATGACACATTTCTTTGATAACTTGTTTTTTACTGTGTTTTTAAGCTGGAGAACAGCATGATATAAATATCCCCTATAGATTTTAAAAATCGAAGGTGTGAGAGTAGTGTTTCTACAGGAGGAAGGCTATGCTTTGCATTGTTCAGTGTTAGTAAAAGGACCCTATTTCTTGCCTAGCTTTGCACCTTAGTGCTTCTACAAACTTGGATGTGGATGTGTGCAACTTAATGTATTGCTCATCCAGGCGCATGTCAAGGCCTTACATTACACATGTGTTTCTGTGCTCCCAGAGTGACTGCTTAGGCAGGTCTACCAGGTTTGTCAAATCCAAATGATCAAACAGTATTTAAATAGCAGAGCTCCTGGCCATAGTCATCCTGGGCCAGATTTGATCACGTGTTCTGATACGCTGTGTTTGCAGCAGTCAAATAAACTGGCTTTCTCCATTACAGGCTAAACTGAGTGTGGGAGCTGTGTTTTTATCATATAAGAATACTACTCTTGTGTATGTAATTAGTGGTGTATTTTTTTTAAATCTATCCAGATAACTTCAAGGAAGAATGTAGAGTCTGCAGTCAGGCAGTTAGAGAGAGAGAAGGCTCTTCTTCAGCATAAGAATACAGAATACCAGAGAAAAGCAGAACATGAAGCAGATAAGAAACGCAATTTGGAAAATGAGGGTATGTTGAACCATGCTTGAAGGGTTCCATTTTGATGTGGGTTTTTAAAAGTTAAAATAAATGAATTATAGTCCCAATTGAAGTGTTTTCATGACAGTGATTAACAATGTTGAATTGGGTTTTTTTATAGTTAACAGTTTGAAAGACCAGCTTGAAGATTTAAAAAAGAGGAATCAGAACTCTCAAATATCTAATGAGAAAATCAATCAACTACAAAGACAGGTATGTCAACTTTATATATGTATATTTTAAAATAATAACTGTTTGAAGTACAGATTTTGGGATTAGTGGAGGGATTTGAAATCTCTAATTGAGTTTTTAAAGATTTTTTTGTTATGTTTTGGTGTTCAAAAGTAATCTTAAAGTATACTCCTTTTTACTTCTTTAATCCCTAAAACCTAGTATGCTGTAGTAGAAATAGTAGTTTTTATATTTTAATTGTTTCTGAAGTATGTATTTATCAATCTTAGTTGGATGAAGCCAATTCTTTGCTGCGGTCAGAGTCTGATACTGCAGCCAGGTTAAGGAAGAACCAGACAGAAAGCACAAAGCAAATCCAGCAGCTGGAAACTAATAATAGAGAACTACAAGATAAGAACTGCCTGCTAGAGAATGCGAAACTCAAACTGGAGAAGGAGTATCTCAATCTTCAGTCAGCTCTAGAATCAGAAAGGAGAGATCGAAGTCATGGATCAGAGATTATCAGTGATTTACAAGGTATTCCTGCAAATGTTCTGATGTTAAGATTGCTTCTTGTTTCCAAAATAAAAATAGGTTTGGGTCGTGTTATTTGAGCTTCAGACTGACTAGATAAGTGTGCTGTCCTCTAAAATGTTATGCAGTTTTGAACACACATTTGAGAGAAAATGTGTGATAACATTTATAAAACATTGATAACTTTTAAAATCACCCCAAAGGGAGATATTCTTAACAGTCAGAATTAGAAGCTGTAACATTTGAAAAATGTTATCTCTAAATAGATAAAGTACAGTCTCGTTTTCACACACTGCCCAGTCTCATTGATGTCTTGGTTATTTTTAGGTCGAATATCTAGCCTTGAAGAAGAAGTGAAAAGTGGAAAGAGTGCATTAGCCAAACTGGAAATGGAGAAAAGACAATTGCAGGAAAAGCTCACAGATTTAGAAAAGGTAACAGCACTTCTAAGTGAACATTGGTGTTACATTCTTACGGAATTTTTGAATTTGTACTTTTAGTATTTGAGATGTTGAGTAAACCTTGTTTTCAGCATTTTTTTTTTAATTGTTTTTGCAATTTGAAAAGGGGGGGGGGAAGACATAATTTCCCATACGATCATAAGACATTATAGTTCTAAAGTACATAATAATGTACTCTGGTGTGTAGCTTAACAGTGCAGTAATAACATTTCATTTCATGTGTTGGGTTTTTTTAGAATCTCCTTGTTGCCAAAAATCAAAGAGCTTCTGCTAATATTGAACAAATTTGTCATTGAAACAAAAGTCTTGAAAAATTTCTTCAATAAACCTAATCTTTGAGCCTATTACAGGACGTTGTTGTTAAGGCAGTAATTCTGTAATTGTTTACCCCTGGGGATATTGTTGTACATTTTAGAGCACTTTACCATCCACAAAGAAACATTTTAGAAATAAGTTCTCAGTTAACTCCTTAGTCTGAGCTCTCTCTTCTACTTTTTGCATCTTTCCAAGCAGCATGTTATTGTCATCCAGAATTTTGCCTCTAACCTGATGTATTTTATGTTTTATTAACCTGATATATTTTATGTTTTATTTCAATGTTATTTTTTCTCTAACAGGAAAAGAGCAACATGGAAATAGATATGACATATAAATTTAAAGTTATGCAGCAGAACCTTGAGCAAGAAGAAGCTGAACATAAAGCCACAAAAGCACGATTAGCAGACAAAAACAAGATCTATGAATCTATAGAGGAAGCAAAATCTGAAGCCATGAAAGGTAGGTATTTGACACAGTTGGACTTAGGAGTGAATTATACAAAGTAGATAATATAAGCTTTTACTGTGCATATTCTGGTGCATCTCAAGACAACCGAAATATCCTGAAGAGAGAGATAGTTACCAAAAAATTCCAGAAGATGACTCTTACTTTTTAATGAAATGGCTTATGTTTATTGTGCTAATTAAAAAGCTACCTATAGAGCCTCTCCTTTCAATTGCAGAGCATTCTCAAGAATTTTGAGCATGCAAATCTTCAAAAGAAGCAAAAATGATTCAGTAATAATGACTGAGTCACTTGGCATATCAGATTCCGCAACGGCTTCAGCTCTTTAATTGGTTTTATATTATCATAGCGCAACAATTCAGTAGATTTAGATGGTTTATTTTTAAAATTCCACCCATTTTGTTCATCTCAAAAGTGTTGCAGGTAAACTGGAAGTTATCTAGAAACTCAAAAGTAGGAAATAGCTCTGCCAGGAATGCTTGCAAAAGCATCCTCTGGGCGTGATTTTATTATGAAAATTTTAATTAATCACTTTTCAGCAGTCTTCCTCTTCAGTTTTAAAAGGAGAAACACGTGGCTTTTTGTTAAACATCCTCCTCCCTTCAGCCTCCAAAATATGCTGGTTTACACTGACTGATGTCTTAAATTTTTTTACTTCACAGAAATGGAGAAGAAACTTTTGGAAGAGAGAGCTTTAAAGCAAAAAGTAGAAAATCGGTTGTTGGAAGCTGAAAAGCAGCGCTCCATGTTGGACTGTGATCTCAAACAATCACAACAGAAAATCAATGAGCTCCTTATGCAAAAGGATATACTAAATGAAGATGTAAGGAACACTGACAAAAAGCATCTTGAGTCAAACCTCATTTTTAATGTTCTAACACTTTTCCTGTTATAACTATATTTAGTAATGTATGTGAGTTAAAATGGCAGCAGTTTTCCTTCTCTGGAGCTTTAAAAAGTCTACTTCATGGAGTCTAGTGTCATTTTTCAGAAATATTTCAGCGTTACTCATCTTAAAAAGTTTTTTATTCTGGCATTTAAAATTCTGTGAGATTGACATGGAAAAACTAGCTAATTTAATGTGTGCTAATGCCTTTATTCAGGAAGTCTCTTTGATTTACCAAGAGATGTGAGTACATGTTGTACAGAAATGTAGAGAAAGCCAATAACAGACTGTTTAAATGTTGCTTTCCTGTATAGGTCTGTAAAATTAACAGGAGTTTGTATCTTTTTCAGGTAAAAAACTTGACATTAAAAATAGAGCAAGAAACACAAAAGCGCTGTCTCACTCAAAATGACCTCAAGATGCAAACGCAGCAGGTCAACACCTTGAAAATGTCAGAGAAGCAGTTAAAACAGGAGAATAACCATCTTCAGGAAATCAAATTAAGTCTGGAAAAACAAAACAATGAACTCCGCAAGTATGCAAGTTGCTCCATATTTTTAGTCATGTTACTGATTTGTAATATTTTTGTGACAAAAGTTGAGGGCAATATTAATTGAAAAAATTTGCTGCAAAGAATATGCTATTCTACAGTGCTAAATTTTAAGGTTCTTTAAAATAATTTACAGTGACTAGTTGAGACTTGCCCTAGTGATTCAGCACTGTATGGGTTTGTATTCAAAGGTGTTTGTTATCCTGAAAACCTTAAAAAACTCAGCATAAACATGAGTCTGACGACTTAAGAGAAACACTTAATTTAACTGAAAGTCTAGATACTGTCTCTTTAATGATGTAGAACTTCAGTGAAGAGGAAAGTTACTGGAATTATTAGTCTAGGAGAGCTTATTAGAGTTGGAAATGAATACTGCTACAGAGCTGGAAAACATAACTATTGGAAATATCTAATACTACAGATGTTTAAACACATCTGTTGGACCTTCATTTAGGAGTTGTGTTACATCCCAACAGTTCTTCAAGGTCTTACAAGTAGTATTTGCACCTGATAATAAATAAGTAAATAATATTTTTTTACATAAAGAACTTTCTTGTGAATGAAAATACAAGTTTAGCACACATATCAGATGAATCTCAGCTCCTTTATGACTTCTGATGGTTTATCTCCTGGTGCTTTGCCTTTTCTGTCAGCAAGATGGAGTTAGTCACATAGAAGGTGACCACAATGTGAAACACTGGCAGAAGTCTTTCCTGCTACATTTCTTTTGTTATGGGACTGACTTTTGTTTTAATAACAGATGAATTCAAGAAATTATCTGTGTCAAGGAATACAGACATGTTTTCACAGACTCTGCTCTTGCAAACAAGAGGCCCAAAACAACTGGTCAGATCAGTGATGTTTTACATGGAAATAAGGTCCTGTTGGTGGCTGTTTACTTTATTGGTGTCTCTTACTGGTTAAACTGTGTGACACTGTTGTAGTTAACATGTTAACAATATTAAACTGACATGTTATTTAGTGTAGTGGGCTCAGCTATACAAGTGAAAAAGAGATCTGGAGCCCAGAGGAAGCTTCAGGTTTAATTGCTGACCATACTTTGGTCAGGAAATCACTGAAGATCTCAAGAGTATGAATGCCATCTTTTTTAATTTACTGGTCGGGAATGTCTTCATATCTTTAAAGCATGTTATTCCTTTCTAGGGAACGTCAAGATGCAGATGGACAAATGAAAGAGCTTCAAGACCAACTCGAAGCTGAACAGTATTTCTCGGTATGTTTTGTGCTGCTTTATTTTTTTACTAATCTCTTTACTGAGTAAATGTTATCTTTTCTTCTTCCTCCTTAGCCATCAGCTGTTTCACATCTCTAACCCAAAGCTACTTGTTTTTCTTGTACCTGTCTTCAGTGTTGTCTGCAGCCTTGATCTTGATCACTGAGCATATAAAAGAGCTCAGGTTAAAAAATGTCCCAGGTTTGTAAGGGAGTTCAGAGGGAGGGAGGGGGCAAACAGCTCACTTTTCCACAGCGTGAATAATTTTCTGCATGTTTCCAGCCTTTTGCATTCAGTATCTCTTCCATGCTGCATGGTAGAGAAGAGTTGTATTCTCACGTGGTGTGACAAAGCGTGACATTAAGGCTTGGAAGGAAATTTTTACATTACAGCCAAACTTGGTAGAGGTCTCTTAGGAGTTGTAACATGCAACAGAATAAATAGATATTGTTCTTAAAAATCATCACTAGCTTGTGGAGGTTAATTTTTATTAATAGTGCACAGCCAGTTGCACTGCAGGAGATGCCAAAAGGCTTGTTTCAGAATTAAAGGAAACTAAAAATTTCATTGTGGTATTCAGGTCAGTGAGGAGAAGGACTATCTAAAGTTTTAGTAGATGAAAACATTGCACACATTAAAGGAGAGAAAGGGAGAATTTTGTAGATGGGCCAGAGAGAGACAATCTGTGTTGAAATCTTTGTGGTAAGTCCACTTACAGCTGTCTGTCACTTGACCTGTATTCAGTCATTTGAGTGGACAGAGCAATATAATGTGTCTTTCATTTTTTTAGAGCTGTAGATTTGTATCAATTTCATGAAATTTTGAATTTCAAATTATTTTCTAATCTATTTTTCCCTTCCTCCTATATTTCTTTTTGTTCTTTAACTGTCACATGGGTTTCACGGATTTGTATGATTAGAATCTAAACAGCATGTACTTAATTACGTCAGACAAAGATTTAAAATAGTAGAGAAAAATCAATTCATTTTCCTTGCTTCTGATACTTCCAGTTTTCTATCAAATAGTGATTTTCACATTTAGAGTATCTTTAACAGTATGTTTACAAACATAGAAAATGTATATCATACATCTACCCGTTCACAAATATACAAGTTAAAAAAAGAACAACAAAAAGTAAAATAACCAAAACACATTTGTGAATGATGACATTTAGATAAGTTTAGAGAAGGTATTGCACAGTTACCCTCTAATTAGAGTGTGTGATTAAAGAATTGCATACAATGTCGTCTTGTATAATTTTTGTGGACTTTCAAGAATACAGAAAATCACATAAGTTTCTTGCTAACTTTAAATTCTAGACTTTGTATAAGACGCAAGTTCGAGAACTTAAAGAAGAATGTGAGGAAAAGACCAAAATTTGTAAAGAAATGCAGCAAAAGATACAAGAGTTACAGGATGAGAGGTAGGTTTTGCTAGTTGTACTACTAATACATAAAAGATTAGGATGGCTATTTGTTGTTTTCTTCCCTGCCCTTGCCCCCACCCCTACATTACCCAATTTAAAGTTAAAAATATATGTCAATAATTTGCAGAGATTCCTTGGCTGCTCAACTAGAGATTACTTTGACAAAAGCAGATTCAGAACAACTTGCCCGTTCCATTGCTGAAGAGCAGTACTCTGATTTGGAAAAAGAGAAGATTATGAAAGAGCTGGAGATTAAAGAGATGATGGCAAGGCATAAACAGGAACTTACTGAGAAAGATGCCACCATAGCTTCGGTGAGTTGTATGATTTGTAATTTTGGTAGAGGTTGTAGAGCTTGAGTTTTATTTGCAGTTTGAGTTATCCATTGTTATTTAGTATACTCAGAGGTATACAAGAGATATATCTAACATTTTTGAAATATTTATTTTTTATGATTGAAATTCAATCATAACATTGAATGTTTCTTCATGCATCTTTCTGACCATTCATTCTTCTGTGCCCCTACCCCTCTTTTCTTTTTCTAGTTGGAGGAAGCAAATAGGACACTAACCAGTGATGTGGCTAATCTTGCTAATGAGAAAGAAGAACTAAACAATAAACTGAAGGAAGTACAAGAACGTATGTATTCTGTGAACCAAATGTACTTTAATTTGAAACCAGTTTTATTCTTTAGTAGTACTGTTTTCTTTTGTAATGACTTTTCATGGAATTTTTTCAATTACCTTGCTACAGAAATTACAAAACTAAAAGAAGAAGAAACAAATATAGGAAATATTAAAGCACAATTTGAGAAACAGTTGTTGACTGAAAGAACATTAAAAACCCAGGTAAGCAAATGTGTTTAAATGAATGTAGAGATAGTGTTCATGAATTAAATAATTTATAATAGAAAACTTTCCATGGTAAACTATTTATATGTACCGTTAATGCTTTATTCATTTTAGCCCTGAAAAAAAAATACTGATTTTTTTTCTCTCCTCTACTAAGTAGACTTTCATTGTAGTGAAACTGGATCCTTGTGATTCATCATAGAGGAAATTCTAATCCAGGTGCATTCCACCAGCAAAAGTCTTCATTTCTCTCAAATTATTTGATATTTTACTGGTTTCAGTCTTGATTCCTCTATAAGTTCTATAAAGAAGTATATTTCTGATTTTAATCCAGACTGTTTTTTAGAACAAGTGGCATTTTAATGCAAATATATATATTGGGTCTAACTAGTGAAAATGGAGGGAATTATTTAAATGAGATGAGTGGAAGTGTTCACAGCTAATGCTTTCTTAAAGTAAACGTGGCATCATTACCTTCTTTTCAGTTATAAGTAATACATGGAATTAAAGCAAGTTTATATTACTGGATTACAGAGGTGTTAGTTTACAGTTAGAAGTGCCTGGTTGTAGACAGAAGACTTTATTTCTTCACAATGTAGCTCTGTGTATTTATTAGTGTGGTTTTTGTCTCTTTTTTCTTTACCATGGAAAGGCTGTGAATAAATTGGCTGAGATCATGAATCGGAAGGGTCCAGTCAAACGTGGATCTGACACTGATGTACGGCGGAAGGAAAAGGAAAATAGGAAGCTGCATATGGAACTGAAGTCTGAACGAGAAAAGTTAACCCAAATGATGATCAAATATCAGAAGGAAATAAATGAAATGCAGGCAGTAAGATCCTTTTGCAAATACAAACATTGCAGCATTTTCTGTAATATTGTACAATTGGCTACAAATTCTGCGTGATTTTCTACTTACATTTTATCTGAGTAACCAAATATTGGGATAATAGGAAATCTTGTAATTTATCCCTACAGCAAATTGCAGAAGAGAGTCAGATCCGAATTGAACTGCAGATGACTCTGGACAGCAAGGACAGTGACATTGAACAGCTTCGTTCCCAGCTGCAGTCCCTGCACATTGGGCTGGACAACAGCAGCATTGGCAGCGGGCCTGGAGATGCTGAGGCAGATGATGGATTCCCTGGTATGTTAATCTTAATAATATTTCTGCATTAACTGGGTTTATATCAATGTTTTACCATGGAAGCTGATGATCTGATGATTCTGTGACTTTTCATCTTCATCTATTTTATACCATCTTATCAATCCTTTGATAGGGATCACTATCCACCTACTAACAATCTGTCTGTAATCATACTTCATCTTGAAATTTATTTTTAAAAATTCTATTGCACACCATTAGAGCTGAATATTTTTTTCACTTGTGGTGGTTCCTTTGCAGTTACTGTGTTTATGTGATGAAATATAAAACTAATACTCTCTTCACAGAGATTCTGTTCTGACTTCTTTTCTACTTTTCCTCCTTTATGCTTTATGTTTAGTCCGTATCACTCAATCCCACACTATGGAATCCATGTCCTTTACCTATCAGCACTCTTCCACCTCTGTCAGTATTGCCACTAAGCCTTCCAGTTCTCGCATGCTTCTTGATTCTGATTCTGACTCAGAGGAAGAACCTTTGTCTTGTTCACACAGTCCTACAGAAGTTGATAGCACAGGTGACATGCCTGAGAAGTGTTTGGCTTTGTTCTTACTGTGTCCTTTTTTCTGTTTCAGAACTAACACTCTTAATGCATTATTAAAACAAAGAAACATAAATCTGGCAGTTAACACGCTAAACTGACAGTAAATATTGCCATCAAAGACACAAGAAAGTTTGCATAAACAAATAAATGGCTTGTTTTCTCTAAACGTTTGCAAATACTTGCTGCCATGTCTTAAACTACCATTTTTATTAAAGCATTGAATAAATGAGCCTTATGGCCTTGTTTTCAAGGTAGCATCTCTCCAGTGTCTGCAGCTATCTGTATGACCCTAAGGTACTGGATACCAAAAAGTCAAATCTGTGTTAAAGTGAAGTATGGAAACATCTGACTCCTCACATCTAAACATTTGTGATCTTCTTGTAGAAATTCAATCTTCTGAGTATTACATTGTTTTGCCTTAATTTAAATCTTATATTTGATTCTTTTGTGGTAAGGCAAGCAAGATTTGTTAATTTTCCCAGATACATAAAGTATATAATGAATGATAAGACTCCAGTAAAACACAACTCTGTTCTACTAATTCTATGTTCATTTTATATGACTGCACCTACACTCTTTTGAACAAAGCTTCTGTTTACTGTTAATATCATAGGTGGGTTTTTTAGTTGCATTCAAATTCCTGTATGTCACTTGAGGTTCCTTTAAAGTGTGAATACCTTTCCACTGAAGGCAAAACTTCTTTTAGGATATCGACATTACTGCATCGAACTAGAGTAAACACTAATGTATTTTTCTCTATTTTCCTCATTCTCTGTTTTTTACTATGAGGCTTCTAATGAAAGAAAAGTTATGTACATACATAATTTTTTCTTGTTAGCTGCTGTCGTGGTTTGTGCATGGATTTCTTTTGTTCTAAAGTAGAAATCATATCTAAGCTAGGACTTCTTGCTGACATAATTACAACAGGTCGTTGTAATTATGGTCATTGATTATGAGGTATGATCGTTGTGTTTTGTTGTTTCTTTCCCTCCTATTGCTTTATAAGCATGTACTGTGAAAATTTTTGAATATTCTGTCCTTTCTCTGATCTGTAATCATTGAAGAATTATAATCAGAAACTCCTTTTGTCCAATTTCGTGCAATGATATTAGAGATTACAGAGAAAAATAGGAAAAACATTATATTTTAGGAAATAAGAAAAGCATGCATACTTTTTGCCCTACACATGCTTCCTGGATGTGGGGTAGGATTTTTTTTTCATCAGCATTATGCTTGCTACATTTTGTATCAGGTGTAGTTGAAAGGAACAATGTAAGTGGCAGGTATGAGGCCAAATACATTTTATAGAACTGCATCATGTACTCAGTGTATACATTAAAATGGGTTATCAACAGCAATGCTGGTAGAGCGATAAATGTTGAAGACTGTGTATCTGAATACATAACCTTGCTTCAAGTCTCTCTAGGCACAATAACAATTCTATGAATATCTAATAACTATTTGTTATGCTACATTAAACATGGGCAGGAACCTGCAAATGCCCTCTGGTGAGAAAGAAAATAACATTTGCAATTTTGGAGCATGTTTTTGCTCCTTCCATGGTTTTGTGTTTGTTAATGCTTAAGGCTTCATTATTTTTGACTTGGAGATTCCTCAGCAGCAGTACAGGTTATGTGCTAGGGTAGAAAACTCTTTGGAAAAATATTATTCCAATTGAGTAGTTGCTCCTAATAAAACAGAAGGGAAAGAAGTGCTTGTGTTAACTGCAGCTATAAAAATAGGGTCAAAGGCTATGTGATCCGGTGTATCACCCACCACTGAGAAAGTGTGATCCTGGTGAGCTTTTGCTTGTGTCAGTACTATAGTTACTACTGTAAATGTGTGTGTCAAGCAACAGCTGAGCACTTAATAATGTTGATAAATCAAATCTGACTAATGTACCAGTGTAATATAAAATATTGCAAGTGTATGAAAGGGCAGTTGAATTCAGGCAAGGCCTAAGGATTAACCAAAAATTACTTATTTTGGATTAGAAAGCCTAGGAGATACAGGCAGAATTAGAGAAAAGAAAAATTTTCAGACCAAAAAGTATGAATTAGAATACTAAACTGACATTTTCCCTGGCATATGGGTTATTTGTGGTGGTAATTTGGCTTTTTTCGTCTTGAACTGGATATTGTGTGGTCTGTACTAATACCTTTAGATGCTGTTGTAAAAGGTAAAGGTTGATAGACATAAGGCTTTTACGACTTGAAAAAATTACTAAAGGGAATGTGTGTGCTACAATTGCAAGTTTGCTCTTTCCCTTCCTCCTCATGCTTACTACTTTTTTGTGATTGCATTGCTGGTTACTGTCTGTATTCATTAAAGATTATTTAATGTATTCCTGAACATTTACTGTGCTAAACTTTGCAAGACCTTGTACTGTTAAATAGGTCTTATGTTTGCTCTGTTGCTTTATTATTGATCTTTGATAACTATTTTAAAATGCACAGTAGTCTCAAAAATTATGTTTTGTGAATATTTATGTTCTTTAATATATATATATCTATTTCAGAATCAAGATTGGAAGGCTGGCTATCACTGCCTGTTAGAAATAACACTAAAAAATTTGGATGGGTTAAAAAGGTAAGAAACCCAGATTTCTGGTCTTGTTTCATGCGTAGTCTGGATTTTAATTTGAATGCAGATTTTCAACGCTTCCATTTTTATTTTATATGTGTTTTCTCATTACTTAAATGTATAAAATATGTTAGCTGGGATAGCTACCTCTGAGGGGAGCAACTTAGGACAATTTAAATATGTTAAGACACTTCTTTGTCCAGCCAGAGGTGAGAACAATCATTCATGGTCTTCAAACATTTATACATGCAGCTGTAAGCATTCCCAACAGTATTTCATAGCTGAAATTCAGCAGAGTCTGGAAGCAGATGCCTTTGACAATTTCTTTATTTAGGAGATAAAACTAGCAACTACTTATCTGCCTTGTGCAGCCTTCACTTGTTTACTGCTCCTCAGTAACGTCTTTGATAGGTCTTTGTCCAAAATGTAACATACACATTTTCATACCAGTTTGCTTATTGCTCAGTCATACCGTTAATTCTAGCCAAAATCCTAGAAATAGGGCATCTTCTAGGTAATTAGGTTTTTAATGAATATTGCTGGCTGTTCTGGTAAGTATAATAGTGATCTTTTTAGGTATGATCTCTATTAGTTGTGACCTGCACACAGTCATCATAAGATGACACTGACTCTACCAGTTCAAGTAAAAATTAAATCAATAAAATAGAAAGGAAAAGCTTTTATCTTACTTTCTTCCAGACTTCAGATTTGTCTCTTCACAGATACTTAAATCTGTTTAGGTATCAATTAGTCCGATAACATATATTGATTTATCCAGTAATCAGGATTTCGTTTGTTGTGCAGTGAATTTCTTGGCAAATCATGGACTTAGCATACAGTACTGTTATTGTTTATTTAGGTACCATTTAATAAAATCATAGAAAAATATCAATGCAACATCTGTGGTAATTACTGTGACATCTCTGACCTCTGTGATGAGCTGGATTAAAACGTGTATTTTATCATTTTCTGTCTCCTAACAGTATGTAATTGTAAGCAGTAAGAAGATCCTGTTCTATGACAGCGAACAAGATAAAGAACAATCTAATCCCTATATGGTATTGGATATAGAGTAAGTACTGCCATGTGTGATTCTTTCTTCTGATTTGCAGGTGAATTTTGTTGAAATGATTGTGACCAAAGGCCTTTTGAGATCCAGTCTGGGATCACAACGTCACATGGGGCATTTTTTTTTTTAAATTTGAACTACAGAGCTGGGCCCTTAGGGTACCCACTGTGGGAAAGAGTTGGGTTTGCTGGTGCAGCAGCAGCAGCAGCATGGTGCTCAGACTGATCCAGGGAGCTCCACTGAGCCTGATGTAACTGAACTGCTCCCACGAGCTCAACTAGACCTTCCTCACATACACATGGGAGCAAAACATGATTAGAGAACTGTAGCAGAGAGGCTATAATTTTCAGTGTTCTATATTTTCTCTTACAACGTGTCCTTACAGGTGGGTTGTATAGTTAATTAATTTTCTTAATAAATGCAGAATGTGTGTATTAGAGGTTGGAGCGCAGGGAGAGGATTATGTTAGAAAGCTGCCAGCAATCATTAAAGTCACATGATGGTGGTTTTATTTATCAGTACTGTTATTTTTTTTGCAAATATAGCTGGATTCTTGTGAGTTCTTTTTATTTAGGGTTTTGGGAGTTCATGTGCGGGGTTGAAAGATAGGACTGGATCAAGTGATGAGAAATTTGTACTGACAAATCTTTAATGGCTCTAAGTCTTAATGTGTATCCTAACTTAATCTGTCAAGTTAAATTTATTAGTTTGGTAACATTCATTTTTGTGCTTACTGAAATAATTTCCTATAGCAAACTCTTCCATGTCCGACCAGTCACTCAGACTGATGTGTACAGAGCAGATTCCAAGGAGATTCCAAGGATATTCCAGGTATTCATTAATAAATTAATGTTTCTAGTGTAACAGACATGGTATTTCACACATTGTCAAAAATATTGTCTAATGAAATATTTACTAAAAAATTATTGAAAAATCACTTCTGTTGTAATTCTTCAATCTTTCTACTTAGATAATTACTCTGAATTTACATTTGCCATCTAGGAGTACTGAGATTATTTTGCTTTGATTCTAGATTCTATATGCTAATGAAGGAGAGAGCAAAAAGGAACAGGAATTTCCTGTGGAGCCCATGGGAGAGAAATCAAATTACATTTGTCACAAAGGACATGAGTTTATACCTACCCTTTACCACTTTCCAACCAATTGTGAAGCTTGTATGAAGCCACTGTGGCATATGTTTAAACCTCCTCCTGCTCTGGAATGTCGCCGCTGCCACATCAAATGTCACAAAGATCACATGGATAAAAAAGAAGAGATTATAGCGCCTTGCAAAGGTAAATAGCAAGTATTTGAATATGCATATAGTGCTGGAGTCACAAGGCATTCTGATAGGTCAGAGGACTCTAGTAATGGTCTGACACCAACTAAATGTAAACAGGTCAGTTTTTCTTTTATTAATATGTAACCATCAGCACCTTTCCAAGGGTGTCTCTGTGAGGGTCACTCACTGCTGTGAGTTAATGGCATGTGACCGTGATACCTCTGTACCTGTTGTGTTGGCAGCCTCATGCAGTAAAGCAGGGTGCTTGTAAGGCTGCTCACACTGTGTGTTGTGCTCTTTGTGTTAGTGGGTGTTATGGAAGAGATGACATTTGGTGAAGGTTACGCGTTGTGACTCAATGTTATATAATTTTTTGGGCTCAGGCACACACTCTTCCATAGTACTAAATTGTTACTCTCTAAATATAAGGAGGAAGCACTGCCAGCAGCCAGGAAACTTAATTTGGCAAAATTTGGTTCATTTTCTTTTGATTTCACTGTGTTGACTCTGAGAGTACCATAATCTGACAACTAATGTTGGGACGTCTTTAGAATAATAACAGTATACATTTTTATTTAAAAAATTATTATTACAGTGTACTATGATATTTCTACGGCAAAGAATCTACTACTGTTAGCTAATTCTACGGAAGAACAGCAAAAATGGGTGAGCCGACTGGTGAAAAAAATACCCAAGAAGCCTCCAGCACCAGACCCCTTTGCTCGATCTTCTCCCAGAACTTCCATGAAGGTACAGCCAAACCAGTCCATCAGACGACCAAGTCGACAGCTTCCTCCAAACAAACCAAGGTGACACAAGGGCTGCTATTTAAGTTATTGCTTTAAACGTTTTACTACAATTAATGTCATATAAGTTGATAAGAATAATTGACCACAAATGTTGTTGGCTAGTGACGTGTGATCTAGCAGGTAATCTTCTATAAACCTCAGTTAAGTTACAAAAAGGTCCACTAGAAGAGCCACCATGTTTGTTCCCTTGTTTAAAGGACCTTGCACTGTGTGTTAGTTAACTCTACCATATTGATAATGGCTCTTACTTGTAACAGGCAGAACTTGTACCATCATCTGTGGCCTAATACTTCCTGTGAACTGATAGGGGAAATGGTGTTCAACCAGGCAAAGAGTCACTGAGAAGGGGTGTGAAGACTTAAAAAAAAAAAATAAAATTTTAAAAATTTTCAATGTGGCCACTACAGTACCCGATTTGAAGTTGAGCAATGATGATGTTAGGTGTTTGTGGTTCTGATGAACCTTGGAGAGAATTAGGTGCCTTCAAAAAGCAGACTAGAAGGCCTTACACGTCACAAAAAAAACTACCTGTATTTCATTTCTTATTGCTCGGTTTTGAGGCATGTGTTTAAATTCCTGCCCTACTCTAAAGTTAGACAGTTGACTGGGGATTTGTATGTTTATGTGTGTTTCATCTGACCAAATGTATGTATTTCCGTGTCTGACTCCATTTAGGAAGAGTTTTGTCAGGGTTCTTGTCCTAGTGTACAAAAGGAGGACACAGCTGATATGGCGAATCTTGCTTCTGTGTCTCTGCCTCTGTGGGTTCCACAGTGTAAAGCCTGTTGCTGTAGTGGTAGGCACCTGTCTGAGCATCTCTTGTGCTTTGAAAGAGAGCAGGAAGATGGGAGGCAGAGGGTCACTATTTGGTCAAGTCATTTACCCAAAGGGTGAGAGAATTTGGTTTCAATTCCTTATTCAACCTAGAAGAACTCATGCTCATGTCTCATGATTCCTAAAAGTGATAGCATTCTGCAGGTAGCATTTATGTGATTGCACAGTGCAGAGTTTCTGGTTTTCTTCCAGTGTACCTTTTTCATGACCTGCAGCACTAGCTAATATTGTGCTTCTATCAGTCCCCAGTTGCTGGCAGCCTGTGAAAAGGTTGGCCTGACTTGTTTTGTTTGCTACAGTATTCCAGCAGTAATGGACAGTTCAGCAAAGGCTTAACATTTTTCTCCAGAGAGGTAATTTGGCAGTGGCTGGACAGGATTGCTGTCCTTATGTCTGTGACCAGACTGGCACCAGTGTCTCAGCTGGCTGGGTGAGAACAGGGTTGAGTTGACAGAGTTACAGGAGGGAATGCAGGGAAGTGCTTGCTGTGATGCTGCTGTTACTCCAAAACATCCTTATGCTGCAAAGAGTTACATCTTAAACAAATATTGGTATTTTAATGGGTGGAAATGCATAGTGAAAGGACTTGAATTAACTTGATTTCACTTCCCTCCTAACTTTCATGCAGTCTAATTTTTGGTGATTTAATTTACGTATTTAAAAGAGAGTCAGACCTCATAATTTGGATTTTAAATTAATAGATTTTTTTTATTATAATCATGAAGGAAAAAGGGTTTTAATCACTTTTTAGGGACCCACTATTGAAGAGTTTCTTTGTGCAAAACTAATGAAAATATCAATGATAGGATTGAAGCACAAATCACGGAAACATTCATGACAACTTGGAGGACAAGCAGAATGCTTTTCTTCTGCATGGTGTTTACAGTCTAATTTAGTAGCATTATTCTGTTTCTTACTGTTAATATAATACTGTATATTATAAATTCTGATTCTTTTTCAATAGCTATTCTTAGATGTTCTGAAAATAATTTTTCTCCTTCCAACATCCTTTTTTCAATCTTCATGACCTTTTGTACAAAATGGTATAATAACACACTATTTACCATTCTATACTGGTGGAAAAAGGGGGAGGATGAATATTTTTGTATGTAAACCATTTTACTTTTTCAGTTAAAGTTTCCGAGTTAGCTTTGCAAATGTACCTAACAGATGAAAAGTGTAGCTCTCTGAGGTCATGTCACCTATCACCTTACTAATGCAGGTCTGTCAAACCAGTGGAAATTTGTATGGATTTAAACACCTTTAATTAAGAAACCACATACTCATAAATTACTGTAATGGCTATGGCCAATTTATATCTGACTGGTGCTTCTATGAGGCTTTTGTGGAAGGGCTTACCATATGGAATAATTAATTTTTCTTTATGAACTTATTAAGAATGAAGATGGGGACTGAGTGGCTGAAGCAGTGGGTCCTGGCAGCAGGGCAGGCTCTGGGACCACACCAAAAGGAGCACAGCCAGATGATTAAAGGAAGAGGTTATCTGCCTCTGTTCACTCCATAGTCTGCTGCAAGATAGTGCCTCTGTGTCTGAGCCCTGAAATTCCAGCTAGACAATGACACACTGGGGAAGGACCAAGCAGAGGCCACCAGGATGGTCAGAGCAGATGCCTGAGGGAGCTGGGCTTGTTCAGCCCGGATGAAGGACATCTCCAGGGACTGTCATAGCAGCCTGCCCTGGCCTGTGGGGAGGTATCCAAGAGACGGAGCCAGGCTCTGCAGTGCTGCATGGTGGGAGGGTGAGAAACAAGGGGCTCACTTGAACCAGGAGACTTTCCAGCTGGATAGAAGGAAAAGCCAATGCAGGGAGGCAGGCTGGTGAGGTTGGACAGGCTTCAACCCTGGAGGCTTCCAAGACCTGAGAGGACAAGGCCTTGAGCATCCCAGGCTGGCCTTGGCTGGTCTTGGCTGGCCTCCTGCTTTGAGCAGGAGGTTGGGCTAGAAACTTCATGAGCTTCCTTCCAAGCTGCATGGTCCTAAAAATGCTGTCCCTCCTAGGAATTTCACACAGTGATTGTTTCTCCAAGGTTTTTATGACTGTTGTTCTTTGTGATGAATTAAGAAAGGGCAAACAAGATTTTCCTACAGACCAGATAATTTCTGTTTAGCTATCTGTTCGATCATGCCAAAAGAATAATTTCAAATTGAAAAAAAATCAACTTTAATATATTTTAATTCCTAATTAATTAAGTTTTATGGCTGTAGTTTATATAACAAATTAATATTGAGCCTTTTCAGGGCTATATCACATTTAAAGGTTTAGTTTAAAACTTTAAAACCTAAAAATGCAAATCCTCCTGAAACCTTTTTTGTTTAGAGCATGTGATTAACTATATTAAACAGTGTAGTCTGTTTACACTGATGCTCTGTTAGAGTAAGGTTTCTATGTCTGCCTCCTATGCCTGGCATATAATCCTGATTAAAAATCCTTTGAGCTCACTGAAGAGACGACTAGACTGGGTTTCATTTCTTGTAGCTATAGCAGTTGAGAAGTTACTACTTAAGATAGTTGTCTAAGATCCTTCAATAACTACAGAAAGAGATGAATGCTTCTAGACAGTGATTCACTCTATCCCAAAACAAATGTCTTAAAAAAGTAAAATGACTCATTTGCTGACAGAGTTTGCCTTGCTTGCTTTCTTTGTTCTATAGTGACCATAGAAGGAGCACAGACAGCGAGGCCCAGAGAACAAGTTGATATATCCTCTTTTTTGGCATTGCTTAGATTTAAGCCATGAGCTACAGAATAGCTGTATAGCGTAATCACGCTGTATTTGGGATACAGTAAAATAATGCTGTATTTTGTATGTTTAGAGGAAGGTTTCTTATTCATTGTTCTGTTCAGCAATCAAAATTACTTGATTTTCTTGGAAAAATTGTTAGCTTTGCATTGTTGTCTGGAAAGGGATAAAAGGAGAGCATAAAACCACCTGAGTCAACAAGAACAGCAGCAAAACAAAAAGCAGCTAATTTTATAAAATGTACTTGTTGGTCTTTCCTACTGAAATTTTTTTTGGAAATAAATCAATATGGTAAGTGTTCTATATTGAATTAAAGGATTTTTGAGATGAATTTTCAATGAGTACAATATTCCTAGCTTACATGAACACTGAATCTTGATATTCCATGATAGACAAAGGAACAAACCCATCTACCTAAAATAGTCTTTTAGTTAAAAAGGTTTAATGATAACAAAAGGAATTGGGAAGACTTTCATAGAAGTGTGACACTCATTAAACATCAAACCCTCCTGTTGCAGATTACTTGATCTGGCATTTAAGGACTGGGATTGGTCATTTGATGATGTTGATGATATTGATGGTGATGATGATGACGATGTTTTTGATTTCTGAAGAAGTATAAGGGGTAAATCTAAATAGAGAGGAATGGATTTGTTTGCCTTTGAATACAGCATGCTATGTTGGATTTTGTTTCTCAAAGCAGAGAAAATACAAGATCTCATTTTAATATTTTAAACAGTGAAAATGAGATTCTGTTGAACTTTTAGAGGAGTAATTTTCATTAGAACAAGTTGTTGCCTTTGTCAGTGTTATCATTTTTCTAATTTTAGATCTTTTTTTTTTCCAAATTCATGTCTGCCTGCCTGAAAAAAAACCCTGCTGTTGTCAGTCATTGCTCATCTATAATGCTAATACTTTTAACCTCAGCAGAGAGTATTTGAAGGATAAAAGGAAGATAGCAGCAGCTGGATGTTTAGCTGAAATAGACTTAGCATTTACAAATACTTTTCATTTTTAAACTTTTAATATAAACTGACTATGGCTAGCAGACATGAAATCACTGGAGTTCTGCATTTTTCTTTTCTACCTTGTGTTCTGAAGTGAATTTGACTTGGCTTTCCTTTGCAGTGCTGTGCTTTCTGGGTACCTAACCATGCATTTGAAAATTATGTAAACAAACGGGCTTTGCAGCTTCTGTGATGTGGTTTCCTTGACTGCTTTAGGAAAGATCCGACCATTGCAGTGATTTAATTTGTCCCACGGCTTAATTGTGAATGTACTGGAAATAGTGTTACCTATTTTATAGATCTCAGTTTAATCATTTTATATGTTGATGCAATCTTTCATTTACACAGAAAAAAGCCTCTAAATGTTAAATGCCTAAGAATTCTTTCAAACAGTATGTGAGGTTTGTCTCAGCTGTATAAAAGAAGGGGCGATGGCAGCAGCACTGGGGCTGCACCTGAGCTGTGCTCAGGGAACTGAGACATCAGCTCCTGTGGAATTAACCAGCTTAGCGTTCACAGTAACAAGCATTACGTTAATTAAATATACTGCATCTGTATGTACTAAAAGCTTACAAGTCACTAATCTTTTAGAAGTGACTATTACCTTGTGCATATTGTGCCCTCATATATTATAAGGGGGTTTTAACTGATTTGGGATCATAATGCCCAAGGATGTGCTGTCCTTAAGTAACAATGCTGTTGGATGCATTTCTTCCAAGTATGATGATGAGCCCATCTTAAATTAAGACTTTGAAGAAGTATGTTTTTGTCAGATTTACATTTGTTGCATTTACTGACCAACCTTCCTTCTTCTTTTTCAGCTAACTGCTTTCTGTGAATGCAGACACAGTTCAAGGTGATAATTTTCTTCCCATTACAGCAAGACTGAAACATATCCCAAAATATATTAAAAATATATATTTTCCTGAGAGATTGTGCTATATATATCAGAGGTTTACATTTTTGCTGCAATATAAATTACTAATCTCTGAGGGTTTTCCTGTATTCTCCCAAGTGACTGATCAATTGAGGAATGGTTGGCAAATAGTAAAAGGATATGTTAGGTAACCTTTTAAACTCTGTTCCACAAAAGCAAGACACATACACTACATTTCATTAAAGGATCAAGAGGAATGAATATTAAAATGGAAGAAACTGACTTCTCAGCTTTTGTAAAGATGCCACCAGCACGTCTGCAAGTAGAACCGGAGGAAGATCCACCATAGTGATATAGACTGCATCTGTAAGAAGTGACCATTATACTGTGTATATATATTGTACTGTAATACTGCAAGAGGGTTTTAAAAATCTTTCCACTTTATTTTTTTATGCTTATTAATCAGATACCGTTACTTATTGCAGTTGCAACTATGCACTTGTATAAAGCCATACTGTTGAAGTTTATATCATTCATACACGTCTATCAGAAGCTGCATGTCAGTGTTCAGCAGCTAGTATAGGTTTGAAGTATGTACTAATTTCAGCTATACGTCATCATGGGCAGTCCTGTTTTACCTGTCTAATTGCCTTAATTTAAACTTTTTTCAATTTTTTTTTGCCCATTCTTTCTATTTAAGGAAAAAGAAAGTTTACCGGCTCTTAGAATGCAATTTTGCTTTGTGGCAGAAAAAATAGTGCACTATTTTTACACCTAGTAAGTATATCAATGTCAGCCTATTTTGAATGTATATTGACTGGTTTTAAGGGTGGAGAAGTGTTGGTTACAGAAACAATGTCAGAGAGCATTGGAATTACCAGACCATTTGCTTGTACATGTAACTGCTCATCCAGCCCTTTTTACGAACCTCAATACTAGTTATTGACTTATATTAACCCTCATTAAGTGCTATGAAACTTCATTTTGCCTTGTTTTTGCATACTCTCCTAGATGTGTTTTTTTTTTTTATTTCTGGAAAGAAAAAGAATCTGTGACTATTTTTACATTTCACAACACAATATCCAAGGACTGTCACAAACTTTAAGAAAAGTAAAACATACTGTAGATGTATTTTAAAGTTTTAATCTGGTTCTCTAGCACATAGCTGTAGGCATAGATAAATATTTCAGTAGTGTGTTTTGAGAACTGATAGCTGGGAAGAAAGGGCCTCAGAGGCACTTAATCTGACTTCTTTTTTTTAACTTGGAGTTGTACAAAAAATATAATTTATGTGGGCTCATTCATGATGTGTTCATAATTATCCCAGAAAATGCATGTTTTATACAACTACAGTATGCGATGTTAAACATATTGACAGTAAAAAATATAGTCTCCTATTTGGTCTCTTTATATATATATAAATATATATATATATTTAAAATATATATATATATAAAATATTGTGTGGGAGTGCAGTAATTTAAAATATGATCTAACACTTCAATGAAGGAGGACATTTCACTTTAAATTTGTTTTTGTTTTTGTTTTTTAAAGAGTGTTGAAATGTTTGGAAGGATAGGACCATGATTTATTTAACACTATCATGAAAAGTGAACTTGGAAACACTGAAATACTGAAAATTAAAAAATATATTTACATTTTGTAACCTCTACTGCAGTTCAGCTTAACAGAGCCAGAATGTATTCAGTCTTCTATTTATGCACTCACAAAGTAAAATGTTGTTTGTGAGTTCTTAAAATCGAAGCTAAAACTTTCATATCATTTTTATTAGGTATTCTAACCCAGCACACAGCTACAGTGTTTTTTCCCTGCTTGTTTTGATTTACAGAAGTACGGTATATTTTTAGGTAATGCAGATATGCATAGAGAACAACATTAAAAATGTATACAGTAAAACTGTTTCCGTTCACTGAATGCATAAATATTTTATATATATATATAAAAAAATGTTACATTGTGGGAAGTTCTATCCTTTTCTGAATTGGAGAATATTATATATATATTTTTAAATAAACTATTTGAGTAAGGTAAAATAGTTCCTGAACTTGAGAAGCTGGTAATTAATTGAATTTAATTATAGAGGCAACTACTGCGGCAGACATGGGAAAGGCAAGGACAAAGCCTGTGTGAGGAGGGAACGCAGACTCCAGGGGAGCTGTTTGGCAGCTGCTCCACTGCTGGGGCTGGATCCGTTGCACTTTTCTCTCCCTGGCCTGCCCTCATTTACTGTTAATCCCTGGGGCCCTGTTAAGCTTGACATTTCAGGAAATGTACTATATTATAGTATTTACTGGCCCCAGTTTATACGTTTTGTGCATTTATACATTACAGCAGGCTGTATTGAGATGGTGTCGTAGAGCAATACAGGCTGAGAGAGCACTGGAGGTCCTGTGCTCTGACCTGTACCTCAGAGCAGGGCTAACTTAGCACCGGTTCCTCAAGGCCGGTGGTGTGATGTGTATGAACGTTGATTTGTACACAGGACACAAAAGGCAAAGCTGCTCTTCTGTTCTTCTCACTTGTCCTGCTGTGAAACGCAAAGAACTCTTAAATGCCAGTTCCTGGAGATTGTGTTGTTTCCTTATTGTCCAGTGGTGACCTTTTAACATTTTTGAGAGAAGGGTATATTCATGAACTAAAGAATATTTGTCTTGAAAGCCACAGATGTTTAAACACTTTCATTTTTTAACAGGGTTGTCCCAGCAAACAGGACATTTTTATGACCTGAATGATTTATCTATAGAAAATTCTCTCACTGCAAGTCCTTTTGTTTCACAAGAGTAAACAAGTAGCATAGCCAAGCTGCAGATTAACCTTCTGGAAAAATCAGGGATCAAACTTGGATCCAGAAGCTTCGGACACTTGTAGGGAAGTTGCTCTTTAGTTCCCAATCCAAAAACTCACCAGCAGAGAAGCTGGACAGGAAGACCCCCTTGGAGTTACCGTGTCAGTTGTCAGAAAGACCTTTCTGCAAGGAGATTTCCAGTTCTGTCCTAGTTGTGTGCTGCAATTCCCTTCTTCTAGTGTTTCGTGCCAAAGCGCAGCCCCTTCCAGCACTACCAGCAATCCAGCACCACGTCTGCTTTTACTAGAGGAAAACTGTGGTTCTTGTGCTTGAGCATGGTTGATGCTGTAACCAAAATGTGACACAGAATCACATACCATGTAGGACTTGGAAACATGCAAGAGGCCCATGGATCTCGGCAGTTGGTGACAGGGGCCAGATTAAAAACATCACTGAAATTCCACTGCAAGTGTCCAGATCTCTTACTACCCCTTGATGGCACTGAACCTCCTACATTTTGACAGACATTCAGTGGCTCTCTGAAGGCACCAAGGCCAGGAAAGCTGCCAGTGAAATTGTATGCTTTTTCTCTTTAGTTTCTCAGGCAATGGCAAGTGATCATGAGAAATTTGAGCATTTGTGTTTGTAATCTTATAATCTATTAGTTTCCCATCTAGCTTTGAGAGGATCATCCTTGGAAGAGGATTTATATATTTTGGTTTCAAGTGCCTTTACCCATCCTATGCTTGTGAGGTGATATTTGGCATGCTGCTGTGAAAAGGGAGAATGTATATGAAAACAAACTTCTTACCTGCATTGCATTGCTTTTACAAACTCTCACTGTCTCCTAATTCTGTTTCTGAGGCAGGTGAACATAACAGTACATGGTCCACTTCAGTGAACTTGAGTATTTCAGTCTCTTTCACATTCCTGGATAGTTTGCCTCAGCACTGATGGTAAAATAAGGATTAATTTATTTTATCATAGAATCAGAGACTATCTCAAGTTGAAAGGGACCCATAAGGATCATGGAGTCCAACTTCCTGCTCTTCACAGGACAACCTAAAACTAAATCATATGACCAACAGCATCATCCAGACACTCCTTGAACTTTGACAGGCTTGGTGCCTTTTCAGTGCATTACAGTTTTTTATGGACTGTCATCTCTGCACATAGTACACTTTAAACTGAAAACATTATTTGTTATTTTTAAGATTAGCTTCTGAACCACTTAGGGTTTTATCAGCATCCCAAGGATCATGTGGTTTTTCCTACTGCTTAGAAGTATCCTCCATAAGAGTGGGAAGGAGTCTTCTTTTGGATCTCTGTAAAAGATGTTGAGTGGTTCTGAAACTAGTTTGTGTTCTTGTTTGAAGTTGCCTCTCAACTGGACAGGAATACATTCAGACATTCTCATCTGAGAAATGAGATGAGTCTATGGAGATGTATGTGGCTGAAAAGAGCACCGTGGCTTAACACATCGAGCCTAATTGTCCCCAGAAACTACTGTAGTGAATGGAAAATCTCACTGTAAAACCACAGCTCCAAGAAGTGGGGATGCAGAGGAACTGTAATTTATTGGCACAGGGATGCTGCTTACCAGGCCTTATTAGTGACGATTGGCGTTTGGAGTCTTTGCCTCTTTGTAGGAAGGAAGTGTTGTTTTATAAAGGTAAGAAAGACATGTTACTGCTTGCTAATGGAAGTGTGAAGCCTTGGATTTGACTGCAGCTGGTTCTGCTCCAATAATCTTAAGAGAAGCTCCAGGATAAAAGTGATCTCTCAAAAGGAAAGTCACAGTGAAAGGTAGCAAAATTCAAAGTTATAAATGTATGTAGTCCCGCATACTTTAAAGAAATCTGGAAACACAACGTCGCTCTGAAAAGAAAGGGCAGAGAGAAAAGTAATTTCATTTGTTGAAGGAGCTACATAGAAATACTTTCACAGACAAGACAACCACATGTGATGCTTTGGTCTATTGCCCCATTTTGAGGTCAAGGCCTTCAGTGTTCAAAGCTGTGAGCCTGTTTGTATGTATACTCTTACACTGTGTACCAGTGGGCCTCGTAGGTCATCTAGTTCTTGTCATTTATCATTGCTCTTTGGGGTGTTTTTTGCCTAGGATGCTGTTGCAGCACTGGGTAAGCATGGCCACCCAATAAGAAGTACATCAGGCTTGTGAGATCACTGCCAATCCTCTTCCTTTGGGTCACCAGCTTCAGGCACTGAATTGCCTTGGATATGTGCTACTTTTTATTAACAAGTGGATTGGTGGAAATGTTTTTTGGAGGTATCTGAGATATTAAATAACTTTTTTGAGGCTGAAGGAGCCAGGAGTCCCACTGTCTGAGCCCTGTTTCATATCTGCTTGCCCTGGTGGTGTCTCTTGCCTCAGCTGTGTTCCACTTTCCAATAGACCTTCAAAGCAGATCTTGCACATGGGTGCAGGTCTGGCTGCAGCTTCAGGACTTGCATTTATTTGCTGGATCCCATGGCCTCATGTGTCTGCGTGATGTCCAGCATATTACAGTCCTTGTGTCCTGGAGGCCAACAGATTCAGTAGGATCCGTGTAGCCATTACCTCCCTCTGCAGTGATGGAAGGACTAGATAAATACAATAAGGAGGCTCCCCTGCATGTTTCGTATCCTGTTCAGAGATACAGCAATGGGAGTTGTATTACTGGAAGGTGGGCAAACATGCAAGCTTAAAAAAAAAAACAAAGCTGAGAGAGGAAAGTATCCTTGAGCTCAGAGTCCATGAGGACTGAAAGTTGTGCCAACAGTGCATATCATGGAAAAAAAATTTAAATCTCACAAGATAAGTCGCTCTCTTGAAAGTCAGACCACTGGAATCTGTATTTAGTCAGTTGCTCAAAGGTGAAAGAATTTCTTTACAGTAATTGGGTACTTAAAATATGCTTTACCCGAGCTCAATTTGTGCTTCCTTAGTCATAATTTACATGACAGAGAGGACACTGAGGCATAGGATGTGTATTCTTCCATTTATGATTTTCATATAATACGAGTCAGGTCAGCATCTTGGTATTGCTGGCCAGAGCCTCCAAATTCCAAAGCAGAATTCCAAAGCAGAATTCTTGTACACTGCAGAGCAGGCATATGCACCGATGACTTGCAATTACAATAGGGTGGTAAGTAGAATTGACTTTCAGCATGGAGCCATGTTACTATTCAGTTTAAATCAGAATTATCATTAGCTAACTTCTCTTGTCACATTTTAGGCTGGTGCAGGTTCTGTTCTTTACATCAGTTTCAGAATATTTGACAGATAAAACAAGATGTCTGTCCACTTAATGTTCCCTCCCTGTGAGTCGGTGATAGCACATAATGCACAGAAGTACTTTTTTAGGCTGCTGACAATTTAAGACAGTTACAAGCTGAAATAATGAAACAAAACAGGGTGTTAACAAAATTTTGACAAGTATTTAATTTGTCTTTCAGGTATCCCCAGTTAAATTTCATCAAAAGTATAATTTTAAAAGCCTCTTATTTTAACCCTGGTCCAAAGACTGGGTTATTTTTCAAGACAGAGATGGTGTTTGCCCCAAACTACTTCCAGTGTAGAATGGAATAGTTGACATCTTTAACTTGAAAATATCTGTGTGTCTGTCTTGCCATCAGGCAGGAAACACCTGAGGTCCATCGGGACTCAGGTCTCTGAGACTGCCAAGGTCTTGCAATTGGATCCATCTCAAGTGATGAGCTGTCACGTTCTTAGGTGATGTTTATTGTGGTTCCCAGACACCTGTTTGACCTCAACAGCTATCTCTGAGAACTCTGAAGCATCCTGGAGAACTCTGACTCAAAATCAAGCGAATTAAAATTCAGTACAAATCAAGAACTTAATAACATCTTGAGATTTTTTTTTCAGCTTTCTCACCTTCCAAACTGAGACATCCTCAGAGCATTATTATTGATGAAGGCAACATTTTATGTTTTGCTTAATGCATAAATATGAAATCCAAGTATCGAAGAATTTGGAAGGGAGTGGAACAAACCAGCCTGAAGAGAATTTGGAGGGGAGTAATTATTATTTATCATCGGAGAAAATACATGGCTGGCAAACTACCTCATTTGAGTTGATCTCCACATCTGTGTAGCTTTTCATTTATAACAGTTCCTCCTGTGGGCTCTCAGGGGTTAATTCCTCCCCCCCCCTCTGCCTTACATATGTCCCTAAATAGATAACGATTGTTTGGTGGAGGATACCTCATTTAAAGAAGTGAATGAAGCCATTCTGCAAGTTTTAAGCTGGTTGGGACTGTTCAGCTAATTGTGAATTACTTCCTCCAGACAGTCAAACTGCACTAAAATCCACCTTTGGAGCTGCAGTGGTTGGGAGCATTACTGCCTCCCTGCCCTACTCCTTTCTCTCCTCTTTTAATAGATTAGATTAGCAGAGCCAGGATAGGGAGCAGCTACGTGCACAGCATAGGCCAGTGAGAGGCTTGGGGGTCAGGCAGGGACAGGGACTCCTGAGCAGTCCAAGCAACAGCATCCTTTGCTGGATTAGAGTAGCACAAAGAAACACATCTTTGTGCACAGTTTTACTCTGCACAAAATGCCCTGTGTTAGAAAGGCCCAGAGGGTGGGGGAGAGGATGGTTTTGCACATGTGTTTGATGTTCCTGTTCACTGAGGACAGTTCAGTGCATCAGTTCACATCCTCACTTTCAGGCACGCAGCCTGCTGCCTCGAGTCACGTCCTCATTCCTTCCTCTGGATAGTAAATCTGGTAAATGCTTTCTCTCATACAGTTAAAGTGAGCTTGTAGCTTACCTGTTGCCAAATGCCCAGTCACAGTTCATCATATCCACAGCTGGAGATATTTGGAGTTGTTCAGTGGACTGTACTGGAATTCAGAGCTTGTCTTTGCACAGGCAAGGAAACAAACTTTTTGAAAGCCTTGACAGGGCCCTGGTTTTGTCAGCCAGGACAGGACAGGCTGTGTTACCTTGTGAGCGTGTTGTGAACTGGTGCAATTAGACACGGAGTGTGTAATTCCACACTCACGCAGCATCTGTGAATGGAGCTTTATTACTTCCAGTCCCATGAATAAAAGTGGCTTACTGGCTTACACCCACTGCAATAAATCCAAGCAGCTTTCCCTGCCTGCCTTTGGCTCACTGCTGCATTAGGCAGCAACCAACTTGTGTCCACCTGATACTGATGAATGACAAGTTTAACAAGATTTATCCTCCTTGTGTATCTTGTCTAAAGCTGCTGCCTTTAATCCAGCCACTGAGAAGATTATGCTTTACATACTGGAAAACACAAGGTCAGCGCTTTTATGGGGCTTGCCCAGAACTGGAATGTATGTCTGCTTACAAAAGTGAAGGAAATTACTCTCTGGGAGGAAAAAAGTGTAAAACTATTAACTGCTACTGTCTGATTTGTTCCATATCTCTTGCAGCTTGAATGAGAACTCATGGTCCAGCTTTCCAAGTCCACAAAATTACTTTACCTTAGCTCGTGAATTACCCAACTTTGTTTCTTTTCCTCAGTCTTTTTTTTCACACAGGCTTCTAAGGAGATTTATTCAAAATATGTTACATATCCTATTAAGAACTTTCTTAAATGCAATTTTCAGCATTTTATGATAAAAAAACCAAATTAAGGTGCTGATTCTCAAACCAAAAATGGAGCAGCTTCACTTTGCTGCAGCATCACTCAGGAGTATGAAACGTCAATAACAGAGGGGGTTTGAACTCCATCCAAATCTTTCTCTATCAAGAAGAGGCTTTAATTTAAAAAAAAAATTAAGTGTGTTTCTTTTTTTCATTTTAAGATGCTGGAGCTCTTTAGCATTTGACAGGTTAATATTCAGTCTGATGCTTCAAATAATTAGGGTAAAAGCTGCCCATTTATGACCTGTCATGAATATTTCATTTTCTCTCCATATATGAAAACAGAATAAAAAATCAAATGCAATGAAAATTAACTGTAAGAATGACATTATCAATCTTGAAGAATAGCATTTATTAATATCACCTGAAAAATGTACCACATGCCACCTGCCACCATTTAGACCACTTCAGATACTTTACACAGCTTTAGTAAAATCAGTAACAGAATGTTTACAGTTAATCTCTCAACCAACATAGAAAGATATATATATTTTATTGTAGCAGTAAAAATGCTCATCTTTGACTTGCCCTCAGTAATGTGAGAAATCTAGATCCACAGAAACACCTCTTCCCACCCCTTCCCACTCTAAAAACAAAGCAGCTGTTTTCTGATGGTGAAAGTCCCAGTCTGATTGCTGAGTGTTCACTGGTGGAAACATCTGCTTTTGCACATCCTGCTCCTCCACAAGAGTCCCACAATTTAGCATGTTGCAAAGAAAACCTGCCTCAAATGTCTTCCCATAGGTTTCAGGAGTGTTGGGATCAAGGGTGCCTTGGTTTGTACATGCCAATGAACAGAATACCATAAGAATTCTTTTGAAATGACGTATCTTTTCGAGAATGTAATGAGAAATGAAGACAAGATATGTGATTACTAATGTAACTTTTGGTTTAGAAGGCATTGCTTCCAAAGGCAAAATCCCGTTAATAGTTCTCAAGAATACCCTTTTGCCCTGTTTTACTCTAAGTACTGCAAATTGATTAGAATCTCTGAAGTAAGTCTATGTTCTTCAATACCCTTTAACACAGACAGGCCAAAAACTAATGAACCACAGAGCAGTATCACCAAAAACTGACCAACCCTGGGAGATGAGGTGCATCAAGGTGCACATGTAGCCAGGTCACTGTCAGTATGGATTGTGTTTGGGGATTCTGGATATCGGTTCAGGAGCTTCTGCTTGAACACCATTTTAACTGTTGGTCAGCTTCATTAATGCCCATACATTCGAGTCTCTGACGCTCCCAAAACAGTATGTTCAGTGAATGAGAGCTCAGGTTGAAAAAGAATTCATAGTTGAGTTTCTGCTCTTATCCAATAAAAACTGGGTATACTGAAGAAAGTGACCAAGGGTATCCTGTATCAGCTGTATAAATTGTACTATTTAAGTGTTGCATGTAAGTGTTACAATCCCAAGTGGATTTGTGACTTAGTAAAAGACATTTAGAACCTTATTTTGGATTGGGCCTTGACTCAGATTTTCTTCATCCTAAAATACAGATAGTTAATGTCAAACTGAGTTGCTTGCAAGACAAATATCTGTTGTGGTTTTTCAATCTTGCAGCAGAAAGACAAGTCGGTATGTTGGTACAAAATTGATCATGTATAACTGAAGAAAATTGCTTATATGTAACCAGAAAGTACTGAAGTGATACAAGAATATATAAACATCTAATTACAAAATACGCTGTAGTAAAAAAATCCAGAGAAAATGTGATATTAGTGAAACTTGTCTGAAATGACCAATAAAAATATGCTGCTTAAATTAAGTATCTTATCAAAATTATTTCTTAGATAAAGTAAGCATGAAGATACTATACTGTAAGAACTGTACATACTATAAGTATGCTAAGGGGTAAATATTAGGCTTGAGAGAGACAGGGAGCTTCCTCAACCTTTGTTCTGTTCTTCAAGCTTAATTGTAGTTTGCTTTTTTTTTCATGGTAATGGTATGTGTGTTAATCAGTATCTTCTAATCGGTCTTTTTAGTCTTCCTGTAGTGCAGGATAGTGGCTGTGACCCAAATATTGAGAATGAGCATGGTTATGAAACGGATGAGAACTAAAAGGGAAAAAAAATATTGTAAGCATTAATAAAAAAAAAAACAACTGCTGTTATTTTCACAGGACAAGTTGGTTTGTAAACCTTTGCTGGTGTACAGACAGGCTGGTTCCTATTCTGCAACTCTTTTCAGCCAATTAGTTTTAATTACTATATTCAGGAACCCAGAAATTCTGAGTGTAAACACAACAGAAAAGAGCATTTAGCACTTAATCGCTTGCAGTGATATCTGAAAATGATACACTGCAGTACATTTAATTATTTTCTAACAAAGCCAGGAGAGTAGTACAAGTGTGAGTAGCCTCATATTAGTTCTTATTTACACCAAAAGCTAAACTCAGAGTTGCAGATCACGTCCTTTAGAGTTGCATGTGTTGTTTATAATAAAGGGATTATTCTCTATTGCCATCTGTTAAGTGTAGCCATTGGGGAGAGAGGAAATAACCTGTATCTGTCAGATTTTAATGATGGAAAATCTGACAATTGACAAAAAGTCAGTTTTTCAGTACCTTGAATAACTCAGCTCTTTTAAAAACCATAATAGGCATAGTACTTCTACCTGTGAGACCAGAGGTTGAAGTACAGGTATGTCTAATGTCTGTTTGGTAACTGGAATATTCACAGAAATGCACACAAAATTTTGTTTCAGAAGTATGAGATATTTGACAGTTCTGTACACGTGGATGTTAAAAGTGTTACAAGTTAACTGGAAACATTTTCCATTAGAGCAGCACAGCATCGATGTTTGCTGCTGTCTCTTCCCTGTTCCAAAGTGATGATGCTGGGTTTTATACAGCAGCTTTACCCAGAGCCAGCTTTACTCTCCTGGTGTTTCCTCCCTCCCCGCAGTGAACTTCTCTCACTTCTCTCTGTGTGTGTAGCTGCAGGTGAGGTGGGCTCAGTACCTGACCCTGACTAAATTCCTGCACCTGCATTCTACCAAACATCATGGCCCCATGAACTCCTTACTCTGGCAAAAGGAAAGCAGCAAGCATAGGGGTGGAAATGGGGGATTGAAATGGGACTTCTTTTCCAGTGAAAGAGCTGCTTGAAATGCTTGTAAAGCTGCGGCCTTAATGTGCTGCTTAAAAAGGATAAAATTCATTCAAATGATGCTTCTGATGAAACAGCAGTTTTGAATGAGAACAAGGAACCACCAGATGAAGCACAAAGGGATTTTGTTACTGTTCTTGCATCCACCAAGTCTTGATTTTAAACCATTTATTGAAAAATCTGTTACACTCTCTAGCTCTTGCAGTTTTCTCAGGATGGTAAGAACCTGTTAAATAAATTTACTTCATAGTTAAATCAGCTGCAAATTATATATTTTAAGTCAATTTTTGTGAGTTTCTTACCAGCCTACCATTTCATTTTCAGCCTGCCAAAACTTTCTGAATGTTGTGCCTAAAACTATTCATATACTAAGTTGAACTTTAGTTTTCTAGAAGAATTTTTAATTCAGAAAGCCCTCAATACGAAAAGGAAGCACTTCCTATTTGAAAAATTCATTCAACTGCTACAGAGTTTTTAAGTTATATTTTACATTATTTTTAAATAGTAAAGATTTTTAATGCTTTACTCTGCTATTTTTAGAATTAATTTTATAGTGCTTTTGCCTCTTGAAAAAATGATAAGTGTGAGCAGTTTTTCATGGTGTTTTTTTTTCTTGATGTATTTTCCTGATTTGTAATCTTGTGCTACTTTTTTTGGCAACTCCTTCCCTTACCATGCTAACCCACCACGTTCATGATTTGTTCTTCTGTGACCTTTTAGCTGTTTTACAAAAGACCTACAAACTACTGTGGCAGCTGTTCCCTTGGAAAGGCAGGCAGTTCCAAACTGTACTCACCTGCGAGGTCATTTGTAGTCACTACAGTTGTAAATATTCTTGCTGTAAATTGAATGAATTCTGATTAGTGGAACACATATGACACATTTATAATTTTAAAAAATTATGAAATATCTATTTTTCAACAGAGGGTAATCTTCCATGAAAACATACACTGTACAGATATTCCCACTTTTAGTACATCCAACTCTTCAGTATTTTAGCTTCAGAGATCACACTCTCAAAGTGGCAATGTATTAAGGGTCTTTTTCAATGAGAAAATCACGGCTATAATTAGAACTTTTATATCTGTATCTATCACACAGATACAGATTGGATGTGGCCAGAGGATACTGCTTTTCTTTCTGTTCAGCCCCTCCTTCAGTAGTTGACAGTGACTTACACTCCCAATCAAGTAACTTAACCATTGTGAATGTCCACAGGTGTGCTTTCAGCCTTCTGCAAATACAAGGAAATCAGTTTTCCTTCCCACAATGGACCTAAACGTTAATTAGTTCACATTTGCATCAGACTAAAATCATTTACTTTGTTCAGCAAACATACCAAAACTTCTAATGATTCACTTTCATGTGGAAATAGATCCAGCATCACTGTGTTTTATAGTGAGAATATTTTAAACAAGTTTTGTGAAGATGAGAAAGGCACTGGCACTTCTCACAAAAAGCTGTAGAACTGTTCATGCAGACCACTGGGAAATTACCACAGGAACTGTCCAGAAATGCAATTATACATAGCCACAGAGTTAATGGTATTTATCAGCGTGTACTTATTTATAGGTAACTTCAAAATTAGCATTGCCTAATTGTCTAACTCAAGTGTCAGCACCTTTTCATGCTGGATCACTAGTAATTTTATTAAATCCTAGAACACGGAAATCTTTTCTTCATAAAGACAGCCTTTCAGTTATTTCAACTGAGCTTCCCCTGGCCATATTCACATGGGTTTTAGGTCACTGTTTTATATCACTGGTGTCAAAGATAAAACTTGATTTCAAGAGTCTCAGGAGTCAGCATTAAGGGAAACTCAGGCAAGATCTTTACCTTTAAGTAAATACCTATGGAAAGAGGCATTAGGAGAACTCAGTACTTCACACCAAGTTGCCCATGGCTTACTTGCACAGGTGTATGCAGACAGACTCCAGGTCAAGGCGCTCACTTGTCCGGAATCTTTGGTCTGCCAGAGACACCACAGCTGAACCAGCTTACTGGCTGCACTGATGAATGTGCACAGGTTCTGAAAAGCAGGTAAAAAAAAAAAGAGAATGACCCTCTGCTATTGTATTATCTGAACAGAACTAGCTTTTTCACTTAGAATAAAGGCCGGTATTTGGCAACCCAAGTGCTTTGGTTCTTACTAAGGAACAGTGAAGCCAAAACTGGAAGCTGCCAGAAACAAGGGACTGATTTCTGAGGTACTGCCCAGCAAGAGGCTCAGAGCAGGACAGTTGCTACTGTTCCTGGCAAATGCTTGATAGAGGCAAATACAATAAAAAGCAAAGAAACAAAAAACGCTTCTCAACCTGCTCCATAAAACTGTTTATGAAAGTTAGCTGAAATGGGACTGATCTAGTCTAAACAGCAAGGTTGATTCAGACCATCTGTTACCACTATGTCTGGCAAACCAAACCATAAAGGAATGAGAAAACTGACAAGAACATGTGGAAAATTAGTCCAATTGGAGGGAAAAAAAATAATAACAAGAATGCACTATTCACTCTGTCACTCTTTTTAAGGGGATTTTGCAAAGGGAGCAGGTAGAGAGCACCTTCACACAGGCCTTTCTGCCATGCCCAGATTTCCCCTGCAAGTAAGGATTGGAGTTGGGCTTAGAAGTTTTTATCCCCATTTGTATCATCTTTTGCATTAGCAACTCCAGTTCATCTCAATTACATTTTTACTTTCTCTCTTATGGTAAAAAGAGAAAAGACCATCTCTAACCTATGTAGGCATTATCAGATGGTATTTTTCTTACAAAATTGTAGGACAAAAGGGGAAAAATTATTTCACGTGTCCTGTTCCAAATGCTTTGACTGACGGTCCATTCTCTTCCTGTTGTGTTAAAGGTTTATTGGTTGGGATTATGACATTAGGACTAAAGTGGCAATAGAATTTCAACATCTTAAGCATCTCCTAGTTTTAATTAAGGCACCACCAATTAGCAACTTTACCTTAGAACATACCTTTTTTTTTCACCATAGAGTCTCTATTGCCACTGATGTTTTCCAGCTACTCACAGAAGAGAGAACCAGTTGTATTTGAAAACTGGTTGGTTATTCTGAAAGCTAAAGTTGTCCTTATTCCAATGACAAATATAAGGAGAGATTCCACTGATAAAGACTTCCATAAAAAAAGCAATTTCATATGAAGACCTACTTTCAAATAAACATGCAGCACTTACCATGGCCAGGTCTATTATCCACTTCTGCAGTGTTAGCATGTACCAGCCCCCCCAAAATCTTACATTAAGTTAAGTTTCATAGCACTGAAAATTCTAGGATACAAAGTTCTCAAAACTGCCTGAGGAATTAGATTTTTTTAAAACATCTGGAAACAATCTTATTGAAACTTTGTAACAGACTATAGAATCCAAATAAAACATATTAAGCACTGGTTGAAACATTAAGTGTTCCTATTTTTCACACTGTCTTCAGTTGAGCAGCTGCCTGTAGTTTCTCAAAACTTGCTCCAAAGCACAAGATTTGAGATTTAAACTGAAGTCCTATCTAAAAACAAACAAACAAACACTGCTATCTTCATCATAGCAAGTATAACGTGCATGGGTGGGAATCAAAGAAATAAGATTTGTCATTTCTACTCTGCATCCCTAGCAAAGATGTAAATTAAGAATTGGGTTTACTCTTTATCAGTTGGTAGTCTTCTAAAGCATAGCTACATATGAAGCTTACTTCCTGGGGAAATTTACCATGATCCAAGAAATCAGCATGTGAATGTGGAATGCACTTCGAGGAGTGGCTGAAAATGATTTACAATAGTAGCACAAAACAAATGATGACATAGAACCATCAAACAACTCACATAACCCAAAACTCCCAGATATCAAAGGATACATAGCTGCAAAGAACAAAGCTCGTTTCATTTTTCCAAAGAAATGCAGAATGCACAGAAGGAGAATGACATCTGAAATAAACAAAAGACAGCTCATCACAGAGGGCCCGGCGGGGCCCGAACGCAATCCTAGACAGTTCCACTGGGCACCATGTCTATGGCAACTCCTTTCTTACAGGCTCTGTCTCTCAAATGTGCTTAATGTCCAAAATACTGCAAGCTCCAAAACAAAGCTTTTCATCAAGTCTGGAGTGTTTAAAATGTTTCTCTCCCACATGGAGGTACTGGATAAAGGATGCGCTTACACTGTAACTCTGTGTAATAATTAGGTCTTTCTCCTCTACCTTACCATCTATTTTAATGAAACTTATAAGAATTCAATTTTATTTGAGATGTTCACTCCCTCTCCCCCCCAACTCCAGCATCACTGCAGTGGAGTACTGTACCTACAAGCAGAGCCTGGGAGTGCTGAATGAGCCCTGTTTCATTTCCAAAACATGGTTTTAAAAAATTACCTTGTGCAATGATGATGGGATATTCCAGGTATGTCTGCAGAGGGTAACCATAGTAGATCTGGTACCTCAGAAACACAATGAAGCTGAACAGAGAGATACAAAACAAGGTGACTGCACAACGGGACACGACAGCGCCTTCACAACTTTTTACTGTTTTGGTGGTGCCAAAAGGCACAAGACAGCCCCTCCTGTCAAACTGATCAAACAAATTTGGGCACAAAGTGCAAGCCTGATCATTCTGTAGTCTATTTCTGCAACCCTCAAATAGAATAAGAGGTAGAGAGCTGCACACACTTCTCATCGAGATCTTTATGGCAGAGTGTGTAAGGCATAATTTTATTAATTACAACTGGTGAGAAAGAAAGAAAGGCTTCCAGACCTAGGGAATACCTTCTTTTTGCAAGAACCCTGGCACCTCTAGGATAATTCAGATTTATTTATGACTGTGGTTCAATCTCTACATTAAGCAAGTTTTACAGGAGTAGAAAATGTCTTCCAAGCTGTCTAGACTATACTGTTAAGAGACTGCCCAGTATAGCTCTACTAGTCAGACTGAGAGTCTGTTCCTAAGTGTACCAAACAATGGCAATTCTCGTTCCTGCCAAGCCAAAACACAGTATCTGAAAAGAACGGAATTTTTATAATGTTTTCCCTACTTTCCACTCTCCTGCAAGTCCATGGAGTTAGACAGAAAATTCATGGCTGCACAGAGGAAACAGAAAGGACTCTGGGAACAATTTTATGTAAGGAAAAATTTATGGTTTCCAGGGTAGAAAGATGGCACAAGGAACAGCCTGCCTTGTAAGAAACTGTTTCTTACAGTATTCAGAATTTAAATATTTGAACTTCCTTGTTATAAAGTCAAATTAGACTCCCTGCCATCAGCACCATGCTTATCTATCACTCCTCTGCCTTGTCATTGCATGCCTGCTCTGCAGAACCATCCCAGCTTGCACCAGTAGTCCCAAAGCTCCCTGCAACTGGACTCAAAGTCTTTAAAAGCTGCAGGATAAATAGTCTACTAAATAAACAAACAGTCCCAATAAATGTTTCAAAGAAGACCCACACTGCAGTGGTGCGGGTACCATAGTTATCACACAGGTGCTTAGGAGACATTTATGGCTTCACCATGCTCATCCAAAACATTACTTACAAAGCTTTTTTAATGCACACGAATGATTTTAAAATGCTGCAACCACTTTCTGGCTGGAGCTGTGGGGTCACTAATCTCTGCTGGAACTAGAATTTACTTAATTAACTCTGAGATGTCTGTACACCTAAATGCCAGACCAGGGTCAGCAGCTGTGCCCCTGCCTGAAGACGTCACGGGTGAGTTCAGAAACAACATGCCGGTTTTGTGAGGGAATTTATCTGAATAAAAAGCCCTGTTTTAGGCTGGTGCAGGGAGCTAGCAGCCATCTGGCTGGATGTTCTGCCCACCTCCATCCATCGGTTTGGCCAACATGAGGCTTTTCAAGGTATTTACTCTCACTTGTACCTACATCTGAATGTGCATGCACAAAGTTTATTTATTTTTCATTCCATACAATCCTCTTTAGGCAAGATTTAATAAGCCTAGCTTATTACAGGCTGACAGGTCTTTGGAGTTTGACACGGCTTATAATTTTCCTAAAGAATGATTATGTTTTACTGATTTGTGTGAGGGGAGCCTGTCTGACAAGTACAACCTGTACCACAGGGCACACGGGCCACTCAGTAACCCAAACACACGGCTTGCGCCCTCAGCAGCTCGCTCTCACGCGTCGTATAGGACAAGTTATAAAAGCCGTTGCCCTTTAAACGACAGCGCGGAATCACTTTAGAAACAGGAAGATCCTTCTCCAAAGTCTCTCTGGGCTCTCCTAGAGAGGGCTGGCCCCGAACGGAGCCATGTAACACCGAGACAGCGGGGTGTGCTCGCTGCCTCTCGAGCCGCCCCTCAAGGCGCCCTCACGCCTGGCCCGAGCCGCGCCGGAAGGAATTAACCCCTGGCTGCTGCAGCAGCGCGGCCGCAGCGCCCCGGACCCCGGCCGAGGGGATCCGCGGCCCCAG